TAAAACAACAAGTCATTTGAAGTGTGTCTGGTATGCAGTCGTCACTAACTACCAAAAATGGTGCAAAAAACAACAGGTATACCATAGCCACAACAACCGTACGAGAGAGGGAAAACCCCATCCACACAAAGGTGTATAGGACCCAAGAGCCCAACTAGTATACGTCTTTGATCTGCTAGATGACTTGCATGTCACTATGTTGTTCACAATGATTATCTCATGTCTGAGACATGGACTGGGAAAGCCTTTATCGGACCTGCGTGTCTGCGACAATGTTTTTCCTTTTTCTGCATAAAATGAAAAATCTTTGAATAAAAGAAATTTACAAAAAAACAACAGGTGAACCAACGTCAGGGACATTGGCACTCAAGGCTAATTTATCACACAGAAGAGCTACTGTAGTTCAAATTGCTGAAAAAAATTTAAAGTGGCCATGATAGAAAGGTGTCAGAATACACAGTGCATTGCATTTTGTTGAGTATGGAGCTGCCTAGCGATCAGAGTGCCCATGTTGAACCCTGTCCACCGCCCAAAGCACCTTCAATGGGGCGTGAGTATCACAACTGGACCATGGAGCAATGGAAGAAGACCCCCTGGTCTGATGAATCGCATTTTCTTTTAAATCAAGCGGATGGCTTGGAGCATCTGCGTCATTTACCTGGGAAAAAAATGCTCTATGGGAAGTAGGCAGGCCGGAAGAGACAGTGTTATGCACTGGGCAATGTTCTGCTGGGAAACCTTGGGTCCTGGCATTCATGTGGATATAACTTTGACATGTACAAGCTACCTAGAGATTGTAGCAGACCATATACACCCCTTTATATCAATGGTTCCCTAATGACAGTGGAGGAACATGACAAAGTATTCAAGGTGTTGCCTTGGCCTCTAAATTTTCCTGATCTCTATCCGATTGAGCATCTGTGGGATGTGCTGAAACAACACAACCAATCCATTGAGGCCCCACCTTGCAACTTGCAGGACTTAAAGGATCGGCTGCTAATGTCTTGGCTCCAGATACCACAGGAAACGTTCAGAGGTCTTGTGGAGTCCATGCCTCGATGCACCAGAGCTGTTTTAGCAGCACAAGGGGATCTAGAAGATGTTAGACAGGTGGTTTTAATTTTGGGGTTAGTTAGTGTACACCTCCACCATTTTGTCTTTGTTGGTTGGGCTGCAGGTAACTGAGCATCTCTGCTAAAACAATGAATAAACCATTTAGCACTGATTCAGAACCCAGCGCCCATACACTCTGGGCAACATAATTACTTCAATCATTTGAAGTGGTAATGGTGCCTGCAGTGTCCTTTTAACTAAGTTAGGCTTCTGAAATCAAATTACTTTTAAGTTCTTCTCAGATAGATCTAGAGTATTGTTATAGCTCAGGATCAAAGTAAACTAGATTTAAGGTTAGTGTGACCGCTAGTTTAATAAGAGAAAAAGGCACGAAATCTCTTCGGGGGAAACCTAGACCTACATTTAAACTAGGTTTCTCACATAAGCAGAATGCACTTATTAAATGAATCCTGATTAAGAAATTGTCCTTCAAGATTTGAGATAACCTTTTAAATTGTAGCTAATCAGCTAATCAGGCACACCCTGACATTGACTGATAGCTAGGAGAAAAAACTATTTTTAAATAGGCGTCCCTCCTAATCTATACAATTGGTAGCAAAACTGCTAACACAATGTATAGATAGAATCTTCCACTGCACCTCTATGAGGAACTATGGATTATTAGTGATGTCGCGAACGGTTCGCGACATCACTATGGATTATCCATCGGCTTGAGATCAGGATGACATTGCGGAAGGTGGAGCAGCTGTCAGCACCGAGGGATACTTGGCTCTGCAGAAAAGGTAAGTAAAAAAACCTTTTTTTCATGGCTTTTGCTGGAAATGAGGGGGGAACGTAAAACTAATCTGTATAAAGGGCACTATTGCATTAGGAATACAGGTTTGTATTGTTAACACCATTTCGTCCCTTTTTAAACCTTTGTAATCATTTGAAAAAAGTGAAACGTTTCATTTTCTACAAAGCTTTAAGTTGCATAAATACCGCAGTTGACAATTATAATTTCCCTTCTGTGTAATTTTTATTTTCTGCACGACGTGCTTAATTAAATGTCAATTCTACAGAAAATACACCATTCAATAAAACATTAAAAAGGCACCCAGCTCCATAATTGAGACTAATACAGCTGTGTGGATTTCTGCATTTATTTGTATTTTCCAGACCTCACAAACACAAATATGCTAAATATAGGGGATAAGAAAACATAATAAAAAATAAAATCCTGCCAAATGATGGTTCACCTTTAAGCGTATATAGCTTTGGTAATTTACAAACTGTGTCATAATGTTATACATCAAAAGACCACAGTATACAAGTATAAAAAAAGGCTATGCACACTAAAAATGTTATCAACATATCCAAATACACAAAGTGATGTTACACAGTAATATCTGATGACAAAGACATATACTGGTATGACATGTGGTTACTGCAGATCCTTAGCAACAGAGAATAATTCATTATTGCTTCAGTAAACAAGCAGAAAACATCATTATTTTTTCATCACTGTCAGGCAGGTTTACCTTGGATTGTTCAGAGTTTGGCCATCGCTGCAACTTTCTAGAAATACATTTTCTTTTATTAACAGCACTGAGCCGTGCACGAATCCCATGACGTGAAACATTGCTTGTTCTGCACATTATAGAGATAAAAATATTATGAATGTGTCATATTTTCCTTTAAAAAAAAAATTCTATATCTATATTTTAGTTTTTTCCTTCCTAACGTTGGAAGGTATGTAATCGGGACGGGTGGACGGGCCTTCCAGGCGCTGTCGTCTGTGGCATAACTTGCATGACTGGCGACACTCACAATGGATGTGCCTACCTTACAACTGAAAGTGGTATGTCAGCCTGGCCTCATGCATGCCAGGCTGACAAACAGCTTCCCTACTGGCGCTCTAATGGCAGGACCATGCAAAGAACGTTGCTGAAACACTCTCTGCATGGTCCTAGTGCCTACTGTACAGCATGTGCGCATCTAATGATATGCTTGCGCTGTGCTACCTGAGGACAGTTCCTTGCTGTCCCGGGTTGCAGAACACTGGGGAACTAAATAGAGTCAGCAGGGTAATACACAGAAATCTGGACTGTTGGGAGCCCTGTGTGTTTACTAGCTCTTTTCTCCTGCTCTGTTAATTGGACTGTAATCAAGCTATTAACAGTGAAGGAGATAACAAAATTCTAAATTAAACCGACTGTGCAGTAAAGGAACTTTAGATCTGTCTTGACAGGAAATGTGTGGGAAGGCTGTGTAAGTTGCAGGCAGGGTGTGTGTGTGCAAATATTTAACTCCTAAATGGCAGAGAATACACTAATAAGACTGGAGGGCATGGTCTGTACACCTAAATCACACAATTAAACTAAGTTTTACGCTTTTTGGTGCTTGGCCCATTTAAGCTGCTCGGTCACTCCCCCCTCCCCCACAAAAAAATAAACCACGCATTTTGTTTCTGAATAGCTGCAAGCCACCCCCACAAACTTTCTGTGTAAAAAAAAATAAACAAAAAAAACCAGTGTAATGTATATATTGTTTATGATGGAGACAGGGATGTGATGCAGTCAGCCGACTACTGGGTCCATTGAGTGACCACTCAGAAAAGCAGTCCAATCTCTCCAAACTGCAAAACAATCCTTTTATAGAGCAGAAACAAACTGTAATTGATTTACAACACTTTCCCCCTTCCAAATTTATTTTCTTACTCTTATTTCACTTCTGATTTACATATGGTGATGTCATATATCGTGATTTCACGCATATATAATTTATTAAAGGAACACTATAGTTTCAGAGACACAAACATGTATTCCTGTCACTATAGTTCAAATAGAGATATTTAGGCTCCCGGCCCTACTGTCACAGGAGTAACTCACCTTTCTTCCAGCCCTGGGTAGGTCTTGTCTAGCCCCATCTCCTTGGCTGAGATCATCAAACTTGATGATCTCAGCCAGTCCAATACTTTCACATAGGAAAGCACTGGGAGGCTATTGCACATTGTGCATTGCTGACCCAGAAAGCACCTCTAGTGTCCGTCTGAGTGGTGTCCTAAGGCAGTAACGTAAACACTGCGTTTGCATGTAAAACCCCAAAGCATTGTACATACTAATGCGAGCGTGGCCAGTGCTGCGCATGCACATTAGGTCTCCTGCGGTGAAGAGGTGGAGCCTGACTATAATGTCCCTTTAATTATGCACATTAGCATGGCCGGTATTTTTTTATTTTTTTTATTTTGAAAAGTTGGCAGCCCTAGGCAGAGCAGTCGTTGGGGGCATTGCAAACTATGAAAATACGCCATACGGTGACAGAGCCGCTTTGCGAAACTGAAGCCGTGTCCTTAAACGGTTAAATCCCTCTCTCTCCATAAACAAATAAATAATAAGAGGGTAAAATTATTAAAATTTTAATTTAAATTTTTTTTTTATTTAACAAAAATTTTTTTTAATTACACATAGGAATAAAAATGTTAATTGGCTATGGACCTTTAGCCCCCTCCCCAAAAGAATCTAAATAATAAAAAAAAAAAATATTGTCAATAAAGAGAAATATATATATATATATATATATATATATATATATATATATATATATATATATATATATATATATATAAAATATCTAAATCTGGCTGTGACAATAAAGGGTTAATTTAGGGGCTTACTAAACCCCGCCCCCTTTTGTTACTGTTCAGAAAAATAGGACTTTTTTTATTCATGACGTCACTTACTTTGCCCCCCCCCCCCAGCCTACTGAGTTCTAAACCAGTTTGATATTTTGTCTCCATTACAGGAGACATTTTCTTGGAGACAGCCGCCATGATCTGCAACGGGTTGGTCTCCGAGTTAATGGCCGACGTCGCATAATCTGACCTCACCGTAACCTGGAGACACTCGGGCAGAAAAGGAGCTTTTTAAAAAATAAAAAAAAATAAAAAAAAAGACAGTTGTTTTTAATTGGTCTCCGACAAAGGGGCGGGGCCTCGAGCGGTGTCGGCGTTTGATGACGTCCCTGATCGGCGCTGGACTTGTCTCGTGGATTGTGGACCAGACAGAAACATGACCTCAGCCCTGGAGAACTACATCAACCGTATCCTTACTGGGGGGGTCTCATGGGGGGGAGAGGAGCTGCTAGGACCCCTATTACTTAATTCTGATTAATTACAATAAATATAATCACCCCCCTGCCCCCCCATTAATATATTAATATACAGAATTTATTTAACAGTCTGTGTTTTAATATACAGAATTTATTTAATAGTCTGTGTTTAATATACAGAATTTATTTAATAGTCTGTGTTTAATATACAGAATTTATTTAATAGTCTGTGGTTAATATACAGAATTTATTTAATAGTCTGTGGTTAATATACAGCATTTATTTAATAGTTGGTGTTTCTCCTTTAAACAGCAGCCCTGATATCCTTGATATAACCCATAACATACTTATCTAGTTGTTTTTTTTTTTTTTTTAAATCCTGAACTATAGATGTGTCCAGGGAAACCCTAATAAAGGGCTAATTTGTCCCCACTGCACTCCATTCAGATCACTTTTTATAGTTGCTCATTAGCTGGTGAAAGAAAGATGGAATAACTATTAATGTATGTACCTGGGTACCATTTAGCAAAATGCTGCTGTTTTGTGCCTTAATTTATTTTCTTTTTTTGAATGTAAAAGGTACAAGATGTCACACAGCAGTGCAGATAATGATCCAAAAAGTGTGAAAACAAACAGGCATACAATATTAGAACTCAGAGAATTACAGTAACATTGTACAGTGTTTGAAGGTAGAGATGGAGAGGTAGTATGCAAAGCTTCATATATAGATAGTAACCATGCACTGTGGTCTTTCTGCCTTCATTTTATGTGTTATATGATATATAAATAATAGGAAAATAAGTGTTTTCTGATAAAAGATTCCCTTGCAAGCTCCAGGTGATTTGGTAGGCACGGGTCGTAAGCTTATCACGTTTGATGATGTCCGTTAACCAAAAGTATTGTTTTAATGGGCATACTTAAATTCTTCTTATAGGTCAGTATGCTATCTATGATGCGGTTTTTGTATAGCTTTGCTCCCGTAATAGTAAGACTTCCTTGACAGATGATTCAGGAACGGTTGCGGTCATTACGGCAGATGGAAGAATGATTGTGGTATGATACATATAGTTATTTTGTTAATCCAATTTTTTTTGTTTAGTTTGCACACTAATGACCACATGTTAATGTGCTGCTATCTCTTTAACATTTAATCTGTGTTGCTGATGGATCAGACCTGTCAGTTTTCAGTCTTTTTTTTTTTTTAGCAATGGGAGGCAGACCAATCACAAGGTGTCAATATTTATGTAATCTTTAAAAGAACACTTCTTGTGTAATTGTTTACAATTATTATTATTTTTTTAAACTTACATGACCTGCTAAGCTCTCTGGACATTGTCATGTGAATTAAAATGAACCTTGCAGTATGTTTCCTATCAATTTCAACACATACCCAAAGCATTAAGGGTGCAAATTCTCCCTTAACACTAACGTGAAGTAGAGGTAAGTTTGTTTATTTACCTCTACTGCATTAGTCACTGAGCAGACCCTTCAAAAGTATTTATTGGAACAAGGAACAGTCACTTGTAGAAAAGTGATGCTTCCACTTAAAGGGGCAATATAGTGACCAGAACAACTACAGCTTATTGAATTTGTTCTGGTGAGTAGAATCCTTACCTTCAGGCTTTTTGCTGTAAACCATGTCTTTTCAGAGAAAATGCAGTGTTTACATTACAGCCTAGTGATAACTTCACTGGCCACTCCTCAGATGGCTGTTAGAGATCCTTTCTGGGTCATGGCTGCCTAAAATGCATCCAAACATTTAGTATCTCCTCCCTCTGCATGCAGACACTGAACTTTCCTCATAGAGATTAATTGATTCAATTCATCTCTATGAGGAGATTCTGATTGGCCAGGGCTGTGTTTGAATCGTGCTGGCTCTGCCCCTGATCTGCCTTTTTTGTCAGTCTCAGCCAATCCTATGGGGAAGCACTGTGTTTGGATCAGGCTACCACTTCTGATGATGTCAGCAGACTGCTTGTTTTTCTGAGTCAAACTGCATGCAGAGTTACAGCTTCAGGCTTGAATACAGTAAGATTTTGCTATATTTATGGAGGCATGGGGGGCTAGATGGTGGTTTTAACACTAGGGTCAGGAATACATGTTTGTGTTCCTGACCCTATACTGATCCTTTAAACAGTTGTTTTGAATCTTACATCTCTTTATATAAAAATGTTTAATGGAACCACACCCTTAGTAGAAAGCACAGCTATTAAGTGCCATTATTTGGAAACAGAATCATAAACAATGGGATTGTTCCAGTTGTCTTTTTAAATGGTGTTTGAACATGTCTTTTGTCGTGCCAAGATCTCTTCATGCTTACATATATTCTGCTTTTGGACAACCAGCCTTTGATTTTGAATATGTGACACCCTTAGAAATGTAGAGGTAACTGCAGTAATATAAACTGATATTTACATTGTTTTCTAAGACATATGTTTGTGTGTTTATTTCAGGGAACTCTCAAAGGCTTTGATCAGACGATTAACTTGATTTTGGATGAAAGTCATGAAAGAGTATTTAGTTCTAACCAAGGAGTGGAACAAGTTGTGCTGGGACTGTACATTGTAAGGGGAGACAATGTGTGAGTATTCTTACCCATCAAAATGACTTCTGTTAGAAATGGATGCCTTGCTGACTGGCGGATGCTGTGCTTTGAAGTTATTTGAACAGTGGCCTCCTTATCTCTTCTGTTCAGCATAATTAGTTTGTTTACCATTTATTTGTTGGTTTTAATTATTTATTTATAAAATATTTTACCAGGAAAGATACATTGAGATTTCTCTCGTTTTCAAGTATATCCTGGGTCCACAAACCATTGCATTGATACATTGTGGTACAATAAAATACAAAAAAAATATTAATACACAATATATATAAAATTTAACATAGAACAGGTAGGAAATATATAATCAACCATAACAGATGCATTCTGTTTTGAGATATGTAGAGAGGGATCTCTTAAAGGACTTTAGGCTTTACCTTTATTTATAAAGCCCCAATTTATTTCACATATTTCCCACTGCAATTATGTGAAATAAATTGGGGCTTTATAAATAAAGGTAATAATAAAAGTAACTATTCTATGCAGTATTGCAGTTCATGTAGAAATACTATTCTGTATCCAATCTTGTTCACATTTGTTTCATGTTATTGTTTTAAAGGAACACACCGAATCCTTAACTCATTTCAGCTTGCTGAAGTACTTTATGGCTTTTAATAGAATGCCCCTTAAAAGTCCCCCTCACCCCCCCTTTTTTAAAATTTATTATAAATTCTTGATTTTTGCAGTGCAACAGTAAATGTAAAGAGTAATATAGACAACGAACAATGCTTATTCAACTACGTCCTGCACTATTTTTGTGTTATAAGACATATGTAGTAAACAAAATAGATGACCTGTCCGATGGCATAGTGAGTAGGAAACATCAACTTTATAGAAACGCTTGTCAAGGACATTGTGAAAGTTACTGCAAAATATAATACACCAAAATTTGCCGCTGGAGATATAGAGATATGTGGCTCAACAGGCTATTGAAAATGACAACGGTATAGAGTCTTCCAGGCACCCCTCCCAACCACCCTGATGAGTCACGGTGTAACTTAAGTTGCACAAGTGAAGGCAAAAGGAGCCAAAATAATACACAAGAAATTATAAGAAAAACAGAGCTCTACGGGAAGATTCATAGGTGACATACCATTAGCTGCATATATATTGCAGCAAAATATAAAAGAAACTGCACTCGTTGAAATGAGCCAAAGGGGGTGCTACCAGGCCAGGAGCTAGCACAATCCTGAAACAGTAGATTTCAAGTGGAAAAAGAAAGGCCCAGGCACTCATGCTCAAAAGTTAATATTTATTTGGAAGACAGTATCCAGCAATGCTTTGACTCAAATGGGTCTTTGTCACATTAGCTGCAAGCTTGACTGCAAGAGGTCTAGTTCCGGTTCAGCCTATTCACTTCTGGGTCAAAACAAATTCCTGCTCTCGCTGGCTTGTCTTTGGGGAGAGTATCCCTAGTGGTGGCAGCCCGCTTGGGTGTGGAGGTGGACCCAATGAGAAAGTAGACATCTATCCCAGTGGCTTAGCTGTTTGGGTAGGTACTGGATGCTGCTCCTGTAAACAAAGGCCTGTTAGTTTGCAGCGCCCAACTTCACTGTGATGATCTGGGTGTCTTCACCTTAACCAGTACGTTCTGCCTCTAAGTATTTCACTTCTCTCGAGTGTCTCATTGCAGACTCCTGGGTGTGTGGACGGTCAGCCCCTGCACAGCCCATCTCTTCAGTCGCTTGGTTACCTTCCTCCTGAATTGTTCGTAAAGAGTGCATCAAACTTGGTGAAGATATGTTTGCTCACTACATGAGCCTAGCAAACTCAAGGCATCTGCCGTTTTTGGTAGCACGCTGTGGTTTCCGAGTTCTCAGATATCACCAAACAGGCATTGAGAGCATGGGACCTCCAGGGTGAGGACCGGGATCACCCCTACCACACCAGCAAAATAGACATAAATGCCGCTGTCAGCCATTGCACAGTGGTCTAGCTGAATTTCTGACAGAATAAAAGTGCCCCAATAGGGAATCAAGGAGTTAATAATTAGGAAACCGTTTAGGGGCTCTCGCTTAGAGAATCCAATCCAGCCAGCAAGGCGGTCAAGCCCTGCCCTGCACCTGATGTTTTATAAAGCTCTCCAAGCTATGAATAAAACAGCCAGGAGGGTACACTTACAATGATTGCTTTATGTCCCTGCTCAAATCAGAGCAAATATTTTTAAATATTCAACAATAAACGTTTTCTGCATCTAAAAGTGTCCGTAAAGGCATTTAATATGGTTTTATATTGTCTAGCACTTTAACACTTTTTTTTTTTTCTCCTTGTTTACAGGGCAGTTATTGGAGAAATTGATGAAGAGACAGACTCTGCATTGGATTTGGGGAACATCCGAGCAGAACCTCTAAATTCTGTTGTAAATTGAAGAGAATTGGGTGGGATGGTGTATAAACCTTGAGCTATATATTACTTGATGCAATATTTTTTACAAATGTTTATGAATTGGAAATCCTTACCCTATTTACATGTTTTATTGTGAATGTGTTCTAGTTTGATATGTAAATTAAAGTGTTTCTACGTTTTTGTTTTAAGGCTGTTTTGTTCATTTTACTCCAGTAATATGTAATTACCTTTGCTCCTCTCGTGGTATTTTTATACAATGGAATGAATCATGAAATGTTATTTAGAAGTCATATTGTCCTATCAACAGTGTCTCAGAGATAAATGTATTTTATACTTACCTTAGTTGCACAGTATACCCCAGAACATGTTTCTGGGGTGCAGGCAATGTTTGGCCTAGAGAGGTATGTGAATGTGATGACCCTACTCAGACAGCTGATATAGGTTTTACAGATGGAGGGCGTTGAGACTTAGAAACTTCCTACAACCTCCGACATTCGTAGCATAAGGAAGGATTTATAGAGGTGATGCAAACTATTTTCAGTAATGACATTAATAAGAAAGTGGCTACAAGGTGAAATGAGACAATGGTATCATACATATTTATCATAGTTTTGCTGCCTATAAACATCCCTGTGAGACAGAAAAGGCTTGGATATTGTGAGACCACCCGAAGCAAAAAACCCACAGTGCTGGGCTTGCAAAAACCCTGCACAGTTCCTGCCTGCTTCCTCTGTTTAGCAATACTTTACCAACAACCAACCAAACATCCAGATTTGAATCTGCAGAAGGATGAACTGCTTGTTTGATGCTTTTTATACTTTGTCTGTATTTATTTATACTTGCTGTCTATTTTATCTGGTATCTCAGACTACCTGGAGGTCACTGGTACAGCACCACTTTTTTACTGTGCTTTTATAAAAAAAGAAAAAGGGGATTGTTATACCATTTATGTCCAGGCTCACCATTACTAGAAGAGCGAGCAGATTTAGCCTGCCATATTAATTGGGGGAGACACCCTCGGGCAATTTTTTTTTTTTTTTTGAAATCCTGTGAGTGATGCCTGTTTCAGTGCATTTACTCATTTTTAGTGTTACACTTTTTTTTTTTTTTCTGTTGTAGATCTGCAGCTGTATTCTCAATTGTTTGCATGTATTTAATTATGCATTATTTCCATTGGGGTATATGTAAGTTTTCAGATCTTTTGACAGCATCCTTTGCAAGCCCTCCCCTTGCCCACACTTTCACTATACAATCAGACTTTGCAGGTCCAATTGGCTAATGAAAAAAGTCATGGTATAGCTTTATTTAGCTTTCTAAACCGCTTCTTCCAGGTTTTATTATAGTATATCACCATGCATGGCAGTAGGATATCAGAAGCTATAATATGTAGGGAGACAAGGGAGTTCCTTTTATCATCATCTACACCTGAACTACAACTACCAGAAACCAAAGACATCATGTCCTGTACAGTAATATTGTAGAAACAAAAAAGTTAACTGACAGACACAGGACTGACTTAAGCAATTTTTTTTCCCAAAGGGATACTATAGTCATCAGAACATCTACAGCTTAATGTAATTGTTCTGGTGAGTATAGTCAGTCCCTTTAGGTTTTTTGCTGTAAACACTGCCTCTTCAGAGAAAAGATTACAACCTAGGATCAACCTTTAGTTGTTACTCGAGGTGCTTCTTGGGTCAAACACTTACGTTCAGCGTCTCCATAGCTGAACTATCCTTATAGAGATGCATTGATTCAATGCATTTTTGAGGAGATGCTGGTAGGCCTGGCTGGTGCTTGGCTCTGCCCAGCCCCCTTGACAATCTCAGCCAATCTAGTGCTTTGGTGTGGCTGAGATTATCAATTCTGACGGGGGCATGCAACGCTGGATATAAGGTACGTTTTACCTTTTAAGGGGGGCAAGTCACCTAAATGGTGGTTTTAACACTATAGGGTCAGGAATACAAGTTTGTGTTCCTGACCCTATAGTGATTCTTTAACTCGGGAAGATGAATCAAAAAGCTCACCCAACATTACTAACTGTAACCAAACAGGACATACTTGAAAACAAGAGAAATCTCAATGTATCTTTACTGGTAGAGTTTATAAATAATAAAATAAACACTCCGTAGTTGTTCTACATTAAAACATTTATTTCTAATGCTAGAGTGTTCTATCTAGTTATTTGTATTTTATATAGCAACTGCTTATTCCGTAGCACTTTACAGAGTTAAAATGGGGGAAATTTAGCAATAAGTGAGACAATTTGTTATTGGAATATGTTGATGAGGACACTTCTCGAAAGAGCTTACAATCTAAAGCCAAATTAGATTTCTGTAGCTGTAATCTAACAGCTAGATTGTTTCCTTGTTGCAGCTATATTTCACCCCACACCCACGTGAACATCAATAGTGCTAATCCCCCAGCTATACAGAAGCAATGCTACACAGGGTGCATGCGCATCAGGGATTCTCAGCCCATACCCGCTTTTTCTGAAGTGGTTTAGTGTGTTCCTTTAGATGAATTGTGAAATTAACCAAAACAACAAGTACTTGAACAGATTTTATTAAGGATTTATACAAGATTTGCAAATATATATATCGTTTGCCACTTTATACAGTGACCATATACCAGCAGCTGAAAATATTTATATCTGGTTTGATATCAATAAACTTATAAAAGGTCTTTGACATGCAAAAGAGAGACAGACACTGAAAAGCTAAACTGGCTGCAAAATATTAGTGTTACGGTTGAAATAAGTTATCTTTTTTTATAAAATGTACATATCCATGTGAAACCTTTCCTATTTAATCCACATACTATAATTATCAGCAATTATGCTATCCTGAATTACAAGTAGCAGGTACCCAGTGATTTGCAGTAACAAGCCCGCATATTGCTTTATTGTGTAAATAATTAATCTTAGCAGCAGTCTAGGACCACCCCATGCTAGCCATAGCACAAAAACCCTTGTGGCAGTCCACAGCCAGTAGGATATTCTCCCAGCCATTTTTTCTAAAGTGAATTCTATTTAAAATGAAAATGTTTTTTCTAAATTTAGCCTTAAATGGCTGATTTGGAAAAAACTTTAGGCTCATTTTCAAATTCAGTTTTTTTAATTCATCACAATTCACTATTTAGTGAAACTTCACCATTACAGAAACATGTTTTTACATGAAATCAAAGATATGTTTTGAATGCCCCCAAAATAAAAATTTGTTTAGGATTTCATTTTACCGATATACCGAAACACTTTATAAAAATACATTCTAAAACTTTCTTGGCACTAAGAATTGTATTTGTTTGTAAATACTGTCACAGGATATAGATTTAGCAAATAAACATTTGCTAATGAAATATTTAGGAATTGAAAACATGACAAATACATTAACATACATGTATAACATTTTGACTAAATACAGTGGAGAAAATACATCTGGTAAAAAAAATAGTTTAGCAGGTAAAATATGCCTCAACAACATGCATTTTCATTTGCTAAAATAAATATTTAAAATGTACCGCAGAAATCGAACAGTTGTGGGAATGTTTAAAAGACAAAAACCAAAATAAACTAAAAAAAATGATCAGGTTACCAAAAGGCAGGATGTTTACTTATATGCATGTTGCAAATTCACAAAAGGTTATGTACATCAAAATGTCCCTGCATTATTGGATGTAAACAAAAACTACATCAAAGTACCCTTTTGTCCACACACCCCACAAATCTGGAGGAATTTCAACCAAACCGGGACTTAAGGGGAATTGAAAGCGGAAATGTAAACTTTAGGCTGAAAAATAGTCAATTCCCCATTTACTGAATAACCTTGCATCATTATCAATTTAATAATAGGAATGCATTGTTTTGTAATTTATTCTATCCCAAACACTTAGCATGGCTATAGGCAACATGTTTCTCAAGTTAACCGATTTTCCTGCAAGTGCAATGTGCAATGTAACATTTATTATTCACAAAGACCAGGTACAACAATATTCACATTATGAAATATAACCATTTAGTGTAAACGATTTACAGTCCATAAAATATCACTAGTGTCTAGATCATGTAATTCTTCTTTAGAACCTCGAGATATTGCTGGGCAGTTCTAGATACTGGGTCTAGATCTGTGTCCGGGTTTCTTAAAGTTGCAGCTGTTGAACCGACAGGAGGAACCCTGGTGTATCCCGTCTCCAGTTCTGAATTACCTGTAAAAGTGGGCCATCGTTAGTTTCACAAAACCGGTCTAAATGATCACTACTTCCTAATCTTACCTTTTCACATATGATTAATTATCACAGTAAACCTATCAAGACAGGTACAGCGTAAAACATAACTCCTAAAGCAACGCATGTGCAGTTCTACATGGATGCAGATACCTTGGAGTTGAAGCAGAGTGCCACCTGTCACCGCATTCCAATATTCTCCCAGCAAGCATGAGCTGTGCCTGCACTGGAATAGCATTGTGACAGACACAGGAAGGACTGCCTGCGGGAGGGTTCTCCTGCTCTTCTGTCAGATGTGCGTGTGCGTCTGTCAATGTTTTCTTCTCTAAATTCAAATCCAACGTGTATGTTCCATGACAGTTGCATTTTAATATTAAAACTGAAAAGTAATCTTCAATATACATAATTATAAAATAAAAAAAAATATTTTCCCTTTATTGGGATTTGGTATCTATTGTGTTTTTGTCTAATAAATTGGAGTTTTTAGAACCTTCTATCCTGCATCCTGGATTTATATTGGAGGATAACACTTACAGCATAGCTGGGCATATGGTATACAGCCGATCTCAGGAGACGTCTTCCATTCAAGTCTGAGCCAGCTATTTGAGTGGCTCAGCATTATGTGTGTGGGACCATTTGTGTGCTTATTTATTTTCTTTGTATGTGCAATATTACCCCATGGTCTATTTTCTGTTTAGTTTTTAAGGTGTATATACCTTTTGTCCATTTTATGGTAAAATTGTATATTATCTGTGTGTTCTCACTAATTTTTTAGTTTATGTTTGCACTCTTTGTGTGTGGTGGAGTGACCTACATCGGTCATAGCAGAACATGTTTCTTTCCAACAAAACCATTTTACCATATTATAATAATAAACAATGTATTTTGAATATCAATATTTATTTAAACATTAAAGATCTAAAGATATGTTTATTTTGGTATGGAAAATACATTGGCTACTTGAAATGATATATATATATATTTGATTTATTTCCCACTGATTCCAGGGTACCACGCGATGCTGGAGAGAAACAAGTTTTGACGACCCAGTGATAAAAGTGACCATTTGTTTTGATAATACATACAAGCTATAAACAAATGGACGGTGTGATTTGTGAAACAGGTAGTGGGTGTACGCTAGGACTAGGTTTTGTTAGTTATTTTACAATTTTAATATCTAGAGCAGGGGTAGGCAACCTTTTAACAGCACTATGCCGATATAGGATTGTGATGTCCCGTAGCGTGCCGATACTATTTTTTTTAAATTGAGGTGTGTATGCGGCCATATTCTGCTTGTGTTATTTTTACTGTAATTGCTTTGTATTGTTTTATTTGTGCGTATATAAATTATATTGCATACGTTCATGAGTAGTTTGTGGTATCGTGTATGATACATATGAATGTGGGCTGTGTATGAGGGCTGCTTGTGGAATGGTGTGTGGATGGATATGTCACATTGTGTGTTTGCTAGTGTGTGGGGGCTGTTTGGGGTATTGCATGTGAGAGGCTGCATGTGGGGTTGTGTGCATGTATGTATATAGTTAGGGGTGTTGCGTTTGGGGATTGTGTGTGGGTTGTTCATATTATTTGTATGAGGGAGGGTTATTCTGCATTTCTGTGTATATCTAGCAGTGTGGGTGGGTTCCAGTGGGGACCAGGCTGGCCAGGTACAGGTCAAGGACAGGAGTTGCAATAGCGGTCGAGGAAGTGCTGAGAGGAAGTAATCTGAAATCTGTGTGCTGCAATGCATAAATTGAGGATTGTCCTTCACCACCTCTTCGTATTAGCAGATATCTGAAGTTTTACTGGGACTCCTGATAGGCCAGAGTGCGTTTGGCTCTAGCAGCCTTGAGTGCCGTGCAAAGACACCTCGAGAGCCGTGCATGGCACTAGTGCCGTAGGTTGCCTACCCCTGATCTAGAGTCTTGTTATGTTTTTTAGTTACTTTGTAATTAACTTTCTCTGCTTTATACAATTTCTTCCTTACTCATACGTATATATTATGGTCAGAAAAGGTGACACTGAACTATTCTAGAATTTTCATTCTAATCGAGCTGAATTATTTAATGTCTAAATCAAACTGAAATTAAACAATAAATTGAGATAATTTCAAAAATATGATTCTTTAATTATACTACAGAAAGATTCCTGGCCAGGAAAATAGTATTCTAAATAAAATAAGCAGATGACCCTTAAAGAAACTCCATAGCGTCAAGAAAACAAACATGTACTTCTAACGCTATAGTGTTTCCCTACCTATTTACTCTCATATTCTGTCCCCTCCATGCCTGTGAGGGTTTGAAAGGCATGTTTCACTTAAATTTCTTCTTTCATTGTGCTGGTCTCAACATGGCTGCTGCTGATCTTCACCAATGCAATGCTATCCCATGTGGAAGCACTGTGGCACAACTGCGCATGCACAGCTAATCACTGTGCTGCGCCAACCAAATTCTGCATTTGCAGTTTCTACAAAACTGCAGCGTTTTACATTGCGGGGTTAAAACTCAGCTCAGACCAGGAAGTGAATCAGTCAATGACAACATTCACCAAAGTGTCCACCGTACTGTTTAGCTTATGCCACAAAGTGTTTAATGGGCATATCAAAGGTTTCTGTAATTTTATTTCAACAGTCAGCTTTCTTCTATAAGAAAGCAATGAATTTAACTACAGCTCCTATATACTCCATTACACCCTGTATCGCAGTTTGACAAGAACAAAGGACAGAAAATCTGCAGGTTGTAAGGGAGGCACAGAAAGGGTGGGCATGAGGAGCAAAATCATCATCAGTTACACAACTGCACCCTAAAGTACACACTGCATAAAGTACGTGTTTCCGGAGGGTCATTTTAAAGAAACACGTCTCCAAAATAATGACTTCTTTTAGCAATGTTATGTTACCTGCAGTTAGGGTGCTCCATCTACATAAGGATTCATTTTTAAAGATTTCTAAATGGTCATGGAGAAACCCGCTCTTTGCAATGCAGAATCAGCATAATACATGAATGACTATTTTTTTAACAGGGGTAACACAAACAATCTCTACTTTGTGCATCTCATGTGAATAGTGATATGTTTAAACAGCAGATGTAGAAAATGAATTGTATTACTCATGCTTTGCAGCATTCTGGGAGGTGAAAAAAATCCTAAACGAAGAAGTAATACATTCATTACTAGTTCTAAAGATAATTAGTTTTAATTATACAAAAAATAAATATCCAAGTCCCTAGAACCTAGTATCTTATTATAGCAAATACCTAGGGATATACACAAACCAAAATATCTTCTGCATCAAGACGTATATCAGAATTCTATAAAACTATTAACCTACCTTGTTGTAATTCTTTAGCAATACTTTTTTCCAGGTCATGATGCATCTGAAAAACACAATTGTGAAATAACACGGATTATTATATAAAAGGATGTTGGTTTATAGAGTGATCCGATGTCCCCTCAAATAGAAAGAGAAACGGAAGAGGCACAATACAGGGTTATGTTAAAAATGTATGACCCAATAAGGTGTATTTAAAGGGACACTATGCACCAGATCCACTAATGTTTAATGTGGTGGTTCTAAGGAAAACAGAAAAAGTTGTGTTTGTACTGCTCAGCCTGCAGGAACAATTTGAAAAAAGGCAGTGTTTACATTGCTGCCTAAGGCAACCTGTAAGGGCTGTCACTCAAACAGCCACTAGAGGGGCTTCCGGGTTGCGACCCTGAAAAGACTACAGAACCAACATTTGACGTCTCCACCGATCGCTCCCCATAGAGCTACGTTGAGTCAATGCATGCTAATGAGGAGATACTGAATGGCATGTTTGTGCACTAGCCCCCCACCCCCACAATACTTTCCTATGGGGAATCATTGATTTGGTTGAGATCATAAGTACTTATAATCTCAGAAGTTGGAGAACTGGTGGCGAGACCAGCGCAGCATGTGGGGAAGATAAGCAGTGGTTTTAGCCGTTACAACACTTGAGCATCAGGAACATACATTTGTATTCCCAATACTAGCTTGTTCCTTTAATGTGCAATTTATTTTCTTATTAACCCCGTAAGGACCAAACTTCTGGAATAAAAGGGAATCATGATATGTCACACGTCATGTATCCTTAAGGGGTTAAGTGTTTATCTAAAAGGGACACTCTTGATACTATCACTCAAGAGCTTTAACCAGCCTGCTACAACACTCTTGGACAATAAGCCTTGTGCAATTCTTTTTTTAAAGTTTATATTTTATGCTTTTTGGATATATAGTATTCTCTCCATGGCCATGTGCAGTGGATGGGTGCATACAATCTCCTAGCCAAGCTCATGCACAGTTACATTATAAAAAATAATATCAGGAAGTATTACTTTACTGAAAGGGTAGTGGATGCATGGAATAACTGTCCAGCTGAGGTGGTAGAGGTTAACACAGTGAAGGAGTTTAAGCATGCATGGGAAAGGCATAAGGCTATCCTAACTATAAGATAAGGCCAAGGAATAATGAAAGTATTTAGAAAATTGGGCAGACTAGATGGGCCGAATGGTTTTTATCTGCCGTCACATTCTATGTTTATGAATTCATCCCATCAGTATGTACATCCCCCATTACCTTTACACAATTACTGATCAGCAGGAGTTGCTGTTGATAACACTATCCTGCTAGCATTGCTTATACTAAACTGAACCCTCAAATATCAATTTTTTTACTAAAATATTAACTCTACATTGGTAAATGTTTATTTTCATAAACTTCTATGTAGTTTCAGTCTCTTTATCTGCTGTACAGATCTGCGGCATACATTGTCTCCTTATAAATAAATAATAATTAGTACATTTCATTTTCCATGCATTAACACATGAAATGCATTGCTGGGAAACGGTTTTTAAACTAAGTGGTTTTCCAGTAAACCTTAAATTGTAGATTGCAGTTCTTTCATTAATATTAGCTTGTTATCTATTAAAAGCATCGGTCTCATAAACCGCTTACTTTATTCAATTCTCAGTGCTGCTTTAGGGAGATATGAAGAGGCTAGAGAAGACAGAGGTTTCGGGAATTCGGTGACCTCATGTTTATCATTAGTTAACTTCAACTCAAAATGAGCAACAAAAATAGTAAAAGAACCAAGTATATAAACCGGTCAGCCACAACATTACAACCACTGGCTGGTAAGGTGGAGAACTGATTATACTGTTACAATGGCAAACAAAATGAGAAAGTAAAAAGCTCTGAGTAACTTTGGCAAGGGCCAAATAATGATGGCTAGACAACTGGGTCAGGGCATTTCCCAACTGGCCAGTCTTGTAGGGTGTTGCGAGTGTGCAGTGGTTAGCACCTTCCAAAAGTGGTGCAAGGACCGGTGAATCGGCGTAAGAGTCATGGGCGCACAACACTCATTGAGCTACTGTAGCACCAAAAAAAACAAACAAAAAAGGCAATTCTGGCCATGATAGAAACGTGTCAGAACATACTGTGCATCACAGTTTGATGTTTATAGGGGTGCGTAGCCGACACCTGTCCACTGCTAAAATCACCTACGTGGGGGCATGACCCTCAGAACTGGACCATAAAACAATGGAAGATTGCCTGATCTAATGAATCACGTTTTCTTTTAGATCAGGTGCGTGTACGTCTGTTACCTAGGGAAGAGATGGCAGCATGATGCGAAAGAAAACAGGCCGGCAGAGGCAGCGTTACGCTCTGGGCAATGTTCTGCTGGGAAACCTTGGGTCCCGGCTTCCATGTGTATGTTCTTTGACTCATGCCATCTACCTAGAGATTGTTGCAGACCACTTACACCCCTACATGGCAATGGTGTTTCCTGATGGCAGTATTCTTTTCCAGCAGAATAATGCAAGGATATTAGGCAGGTGGTTTTGATGTTGTGGCTGATCAGTGTATCTTTCTCTTTCATCTACTCACTTTCTTTCCACAGCCTCCGTATCCACTCTCCATATACCATCGTTATTCCACTCCCCTCCTTCCTTATTCCATTTCCTTCACTAGTTCACCTTTCAACCATCCTCATTCTTTTCCATTCACCTGTCAATCAACTTTCTGAATACATCATTTTATCAATGGCCAAAGGCATGGCGTCTTTGCAGAGTCCTGACTTGAGATGAAGAACATTAAAACCAAGCAGATTTTCCTACTTGCTCTCTCAGCAATTACCTCACATATGTGCAATGCACTGAATTTGCTGTAATCGAAAATTAAATTGCAAGTGTAACATTCAAGAACCAAAATCATGGTAATCTTTCTCCAGTGATGGAGAAAGAGTTAGTATTATATATATAACCCCTCTCCTCTCCCCTCCCCCCCAAAAACCTCACCCACAAACGTTAAGTAATAGAATGCGTTTTTACCTTTATGATTAATGATATATTCAATGTTTAATGAAATGTAATCTGTTAAATAATCTTGGCATGTTAAGTAGGAAGACAAACAATTTAATACAACATTATGAATAAGTGGTGAATCTCACATTTTTATTAAACTATTATACAGAAGTGGGAAAACACCAATTCTTATTAACAGAGCTTAAAGCAGAGTTGAAAAGCAGTTGTGGCTGACCTGTGCAAGGTAGGAATCTATTCGGTTTACTGTTAATCCATTTCCAGTCGAACTTAGAAAACTTCCTCCAAGTCCAAAACCCCCATTCATTGCCAAATTCCTGGCGTGAAGTCCAAGCTGACTTGAGTCTAGAATAGGGCTAGTAGCTAGGCTTCCATTTACAATACTGCTGGCAATTAGTGATTTGCTTCTTTGCCTTTCAGTAAGCAGCTTGGTATTCGCTTCTTCAAGCTTTTCACTTGTTCTGTAAAGATGTTGAAAAGTGTTATGTTGGAAAAAACACAGAGTCCCACAAAGGGACTATTGGTGTGTACAAGAGAACCAAAAAAGGGGGTAACCCTTAACCCCTTAAGGACTAAACTTCTGGAATAAAAGGGAATCATGTCATGTCACACGTCATGTGTCCTTAAGGGGGTTAAATGATCACTATAGGGTCAGGAACACAAACATGTATTCCTGACCCTATAGTGTTAACACTACCATCTAACCCCACTGGGCCCCTCATGCCTCCATAAATATAGCAAAATCTTACTGTACTCAAGCCTGAAGCTGTAACTCTGCATGCTGTTTGCCTCAGAAAAACAAGCAGTCTGCTGACATCATGTGGCCTGATCCAATCACAATGCTTCCCCATAGGATTCGCTGAGACTGACAAGGAGGCAGATCAGGGGCAGAGCCAGCATGATTCAAACACAGCCCTGGCCAATCAGCATCTCCTCATAGAGATGAATTGAACCAATTAATCTCTATGAGGAAAGTTCAGTGTCTGCATACAGAGGGAGGAGACACTGAATGTTTGGATGCATTTTAGGCAGCCATGACCCAGGAAGGATCTCTAACAGCTCTCTGAGGAGTGGCCAGTGAAGTTATCACTAGGCTGTAATGTAAACACTGCATTTTCTCTGAAAAGACAAGGCTAACAGCAAAAAGCCTGAAGGTAATGATTCTACTCACCAGAACAAATTCAATAAACGGTAGTTGTTCTGGTGACTATAGTGTTCATTATACAACCAAGACAAATGCATAAATGTCCAGAGGAAACAAATCCAATGGACACAGAACGAGGTTCCTTGCAAAATATACAAATAACATACGAAAAATATATATTTAAATAGATTTTATGTTAATAAGTATTTAGAGGAAAAGACAATCTTAACAATGTAACAATATAACAATTTTTATTGTTAAATTGTTAATATTGTCTTTTTATCCAGAATAGTGATGTTGCGAACCGTTCGCGAACTTGCTGTGAACTGTTCGCCGCAACTCCGGTCAGCTGACACATCCCTGCCAATCTCCGGCACACCCTCCCTCCCAGACCCTCCTACTTCCTGGACAGCATCCATGTTGAAGGCAGCTTCAACATGGATGCTGTCCAGGAGGTGGGAGGGTCTGCTGGAGATTGGCAGGGATGTGTCAGCTGACCGGAGTTCGCCACGAACCGTTCGCGGCAAGTTCGCGACATCACTAATCCAGAATAGTGGTTTTATCTTGGAGGGCTTTTTTGCCTCTCTTTATTGCCACAATTGGTTCAATATAAATGGCACACAAATTTATATCAGAGTGATATATAGTGGTATTGATTCATAGGGCTTCTGTATTGCCTTTTCATTATAGCCACATGAGATCATGTGTAGTCAATATATAAAATCTTTTTAGGGTATCTAACTTCCACCATCATTACCCTTAGTCTACCTTAGAGTCTGTCCCAGTTTGATATTATAGAGCCTTTACCGGTGAATGGCTCTTTTTAATGGGTTTATGTCTTTTCCCTAAATACTTAATAAAATATAATCTATTTAAATACACTGTTCAAAAAAATAAAAGGAACACTTAAACAACACAATGTAACTCCAAGTCAATCACACTTCTGTTAAATCAAACTGTCAGATCTTTAGATTTTATTTTTCCGTTGCCACTTCATATTAGTCAACAAACTTGACGTTTATTTTTCACCATAAAGTGCTGCAAGTTTCTGAATAAGTTATATTGCTACACACCTTTCTAGTTTTGATGCCAGTACTTTTCTTAGTTTCATCTCTTCTGCGTACAAATCTTTGAACCGATCCAGTTCTGTTAGAGAGGATTCCTTCTGGCACTCTCTTTCCTTCTGTTGGGTTTTAATCCTATGGAGTTCGGATTCTAAATCTTGAATTCTGCTTTCCAGCTGGCTCCGTAGAGATGCGTCGTTTGCAGATCTTATTTGCTCTAGGGAATCCTGGGCTGCAGCTTGGGTCTAAAACAAATTGTGTGAAATCATCAATGCAGAGGGAAAATATATATAGAATACATTCCCTTCCTGCATTGTGCAATTCTTACTTTATAAAAATATGTTAATGTTGGTAAACTTGATTTGGCGTTAACGCATTAAAATCGAAATCTGCATTTCAAAACATGTAGTCCCAGTATTACACGTGTATTTACAAAAAGCAATTTGCAATCAAATAGGTCTATTTTTCCAGAATTGCAAATAAAATTAGAGGAGTTCAGTCTTCATCCAACCAAAAAATGAATCGCCTAAATTAAATATGGAATTTGTCAAACATGGAATTCATCTCGACTGCCTCAGAATATGGGGATTTCTGCTTCCCAGCTTTTTGCACAAGAAGTAATAACCACAAAATTTAGGAAATTCTTTAAAAAAATAAATAACATTTAATTACATTATTAAAATGGGAAGGGGATTAGACTGAGGGTTAAAATTCTACAAGGCTAAACATGTAAATATATCTATCCCCTGTGTTGTGAGATGGGACTAATGAATTTGAGGGCTCTGCTGGGCCGCCTTAAATTCCCCCCATCCCATATGCAAAATTCTACAATCTCACCAACACACCTCACTCTCCATTTACACCCTATGTATTTAGTGAAAACACTTCATATGGACATTATTACCTGAAGGAACAGATTGACTTCTTCTAATTTCTGTTGTAGCTCTTGCCTCCCTCTCTCTTCTATTTCCCTTTTAAAGTTTTCCATTGTGCTCTGATCCATTTTGCTTGACTCCAGATGTCTCTTTAAGTCAGCCACTTCCCCTTCAAGGTGCCGCTGTCCCTTTTCTTGCCGTTCGTGTTTCCTATGTAAATGCTTCATGGAATACAACTGTTCCTGCAGATCGCGACTTGCCGATTCCAGCTGCTTATATCTCATCGATTCTCTTTCCAAACTGACGGAAAGTTGCTCAACCTGCACGTGAGTCATTTACATAAAAAATATAGAGGACATAAAAAAAAAAAAAAAAATCGATTACATTCTGTAGCGGAACAGTCTGGTAAGAGAGACAGTCTCTCGCTCATATGGAGCTCAGATATTATCAACAAGTACAAATTGGCAAGCTAGAAATTCTGTAACACATTTTGTCAAGCATTCCTGCACTTTTTACGGATTTAGTATATCACTGTAATGTTCATCAACTTAAACAGCATTATTAAAGATCAAAAGGGAAAATGGCACAATGGATACAAAGTGCATTGTTGCAGTTCTCTTTAAGAATAACTTGTTTGCTATAAGACGATCCATAGCAAGAGTGAATTATTTGCTTAAAGGAACAGTCCAGGCACAGAGCATTTCAGCTTCCTCAAGTGCTTTTTGTGCCATCTAATTTTTATTTTTATAACACAAGAGTGTTGGAAATGTTTAAGTGACAGCTGGGGAGGACTTCTTCCACTTCCGTTAGCCTCACACGGCTGTACTACAGCTCACTGAGAAGCATTTGAAAGCCGCAATTGCATGAATGTTATTGGCTCCAGCACAGAGAATTCACAGCGATATGTATATGTATTCCCTGGCGCAGACTGAAGCAGTTTTTCATTTAAAAAAAAAAATATGAAAGTTTGTTTTCAACGATTTTTTACTACTGCTTCATCTCATTAAACTGGTTATTGTGTCTGGAGTCCCTGGTATTGTCATTTCAATCAACATTTAACAGGTTTTTTTTTTTTTTTTTTATGTTTTAATGCTAAATGCGAGTCTCCAGGAGCCCCTCCCATCTGTGCTGCTTTGGCTATCGAGGAAGTATTAACCTGAGCAGCGATGGGCAGCTGTGATTGGCTGAGAGCATCAGCTGACTACTATTAGCCTATCAGAGCTCCAACTGACGTATGAAGGGTATGACTAAAGGAAGTGTGTAATTTCTGCTTAGCCATACCCCCAGAAGTGGCCAGGAACCTTATTTAGTGATAAACTCCTCAGACATGGTGTAACAGTGAATGGTGGGACAGTGCCAGGGATCTCCAGGCACTATAACCAATTCAAAAGAGAGGAAATGGTTATAGTGACTACAGAGTCCCGTTTAATGTAGTATAGATTAGTGTGCTTATTATTTAAGCCCTTCTGAAGTAAAATAGTTATTAAATAAAAAAAAACAAACAAAAAAAAACCCAACTCAAACATATACTGTAAAACGTCAATTCAGAAGACACATAGTGATACCTTATCTTTTAATCTAGAACGCTCAGAATCGGACTCAATGTTTTTGTGTGCGGATCCATCTTCAGGTCTGCTCTGCTGGTGGCCAAGAGATTCAAATTCTTTCAGTTTCTTTTTAGTGGTTTTCAAAAGTTTCTTCATCCTACAGAAAACAAGACCATAAATAGGTACCTGCAACTGAGGAACAAAGCTGCGATGGTAAAATGCATTCCAGAGGCACTGGTTCTAAATGTGAAGCACCATAACCATTACAGCTAAAAGTAGGAGTATAGATGCTGCCTGTTTTCCCAGACAACTTATTGTTATTTCTGAGAAACAGCAGCCCTCCGTTGGCTGTCAGATAGACCGATGGGAGGGAGTTGGGGAATAAAACTACGCTAAACGTGAAACACGCCGATGTTAAAAATCTATAGAACTATATTTAATGTTCGACTGTTCCTTTAACACAGTATCGAACTTTATATAACTGATCTACACAGGAAATGTCTGTTTACTGTACAAAATTAAGGGTTCCGAGGAATTAACCCAGTTATGCATATGATGCACCCTTCTATAACACATGGGTGTATATTTTAGAAAAAATTTTTTTCCAAAAAGTGAAGGAATCAGAATGAACGGTCCACTGGTTTTTATGGTATTTGCTCCATATTTAGAATCCCACTCCCCCTCCCCCCCCCAGTACTGCTCTTTATACACAAGCCCCAATGCATTGTGAGTAATCTGATTCCTGCATTACCCAGTTAAGTCTCTGTGTAATTCACTGTTTCTCTTCACTTCCTGATCAAACCGCGATTCAACAGATTTCTTCATTTCTGCCAGTTTCTTCACTTTTTTACGTTCACGATCAACCTTCAAAATATAAACCAGTGAAAGGATAGAATTTCTTTCAAAGCTTATACACATGGTTTATCTAATGACTCAGCATATGAAAGCACGATAGCTCGAGAGAACAAAGCCACAGGATCTCAGCCCCCTTAGATCTGCGCTTTACCAGTTATATATAGAAACTTTACCTGTTCAACCAAATCTGCCTTTTCTCTATCGAGCTCTGCCAGGCGGATGCCTAATCGGGATCTGGACTTGAGTTCTTCTTCCCACATGCTGTGAGACTCATGGGCATTCATAGACAAAGCAGTCTGTTTGGAAACCTAAAACAACGGAACCACAGAGGGGTCTTTACAATTCAACCACAGAATTACTGCTTTAGATTTACATTTCGAGAAAGAGATTATTTTACTTCCTTGTTTTTAAGCAATTCCATGTGTTCCTTGCAGTAAGTTTATATAAAGGAGTTATGCTAATAATGATATATTTACCTGCTGGTTCAATTTCTCTTCCAAGCCCATTTTTGATGATTGCAAACCTGTTAATAAATCTTCCATGCGATTCCGATTCTACGGAAAAAATAAACAGAACAAAATAAATCAATAAGAGAAGCATATTAATATAGTCACAGATTTCTATAGATAAAAAAAATAGACAAAAAAGGAAGGTAAGGGTGCGCCTAAAATGTATAAACCATATATAATGTATAAAATATAACAATTATATAAAATATGGAATAAAAGATAAATTGTAGAATAAGTGAGATAATAGTCCAAAACACTTATCGAAAGTTCGTTATAGTAGTTTTTCCTTGTAGAGACAGCAAATCTTGGGACGTCAGACGGAATTAAGACTTCACAGTGATGTACTTGAATCCGGTGAGGTATGTATATAAAAAGGAAGCAAAAAAAAAAAAGAGAGAACTCCAATGGTACAGTATATCAATCAAAATATACTGTACCATTGGAGTTCTCTCTTTTTTTTTGCTTCCTTTTTATATACATACCTCACCGGATTCAAGAACATCACTGTGAAGTCTTAATTCCGTCTGACGTCCCAAGATTTGCTGTCTCTACAAGGAAAAACTACTATAACGAACTTTCGATAAGTGTTTTGGACTATTATCTCACTTATTCTACAATTTATCTTTTATTCCATATTTTATATAATTGTTATATTTTATACATTATATATGGTTTATACATTTTAGGCGCACCCTTATCTTCCTTTTTTGTCTATTGTATTTCATATTTCAGGGGATCATAGGGGACTCCCCTTTGAGGTGTGCTGCCTTCTTAATAATTTTGTGGCAGTTAAGCGCTGATTTTTTCTCTTTTTACAGATTTCTATAGATATAGCTGCACACCCACACACAGTGAATGCATTGTGCTACTCTGGTGAATCCAGCTGTTCCTCTCTCTAATTTTAATAACATACTGGATACGTGATGACTTAGGTTTATACTGTAGAATACAGACCATTAATGCCATACAGGGCATGTCGGCTATAAAAAGACAAGAGAAACATGTACACCTGCAATGCAGTGTGATAAGTCAATCATTGATGCTAGTGGATGTGTAATGTACTTTAACTCTATATATCTTATTCTTACATTTGCTAAAACACAGGCCTAGGAATGGTATTCTTTACATAGATCTAATATTTAACTAGCAAACAATTGTGGGCTCCAGTGCAGATGTTTTTATTAAATTCAGATAATAAATCCAGTGAACTGGTCATATCTAGAGCTTAATAAAACCATTTAATGCTCCTGGAACCCATTTCAATGTTTCGCTTATCAAGGCTTTGATTTAATAAGCTTTCCAAATAATTTATCTACAAAAATTCCGAAATAATTTAATAGTCACTTAAGCAGATAAATCATTAGGAAAGTTTTCCTAACAGTATTGAATCGTGTGGAAAACATACTAAATTGAGGCCAATGTCAGAATATGGACTTAATCAAACCAATGTTAGACTACCCTTGCAAAAAGCACAGTGAGGAGGGAAAAATCTCCCAAACTACCCATGTGAACCAGTGTATTGAATTTATCTCTTCACATACCAAAGCATGTCTATACGTCGAAGCTGGTATCGGTGTGCAAGTGGTTTTAAGCAGAAAGCAGACTAATGGGGTGAATAAATAAACAGATACATCTGGTTCTTACTGAAATGGATTCCTGTAGCTCTCTCTGAAGGATTTCAATTTGAGTGGTTTGATGCTTCGCAGTTGCCTCAATTTTGGCATTTTCAATTTCAAGCCTGAAACAAGGTAACGTGATAAAAATGATTAATAAACCATCCATTATGCAAAGAAAATATGGAACTATATTGGTTTTCTTTATTGCCTAAAAAGTGAAATTTGAGAATTTTAGGCAAAATAACTGATGTGGAAAAAAACTTGCCAACTCTTCAAATCACATCTTGGCTAATCTGCCCTGAAATTGGCAATTTACTTTTCAGTTTTGTTTATGGACCAGATAGACCTATTGAAAGAAATTCCTTCTAAATATTTCTGAAGGTGCCATACATGTTTGATTCCGAATGTAATGGAATGAATGACTAACACTGGAACAAAGTTAGGAAAAAAATAAAGAATTGCGGTTTTTAACCATAAATGTGATCAAACTTAGTCTACCTCAATACAAAAAGAAAACGGCCCGATCCTCCTTCTCCTACAGAGCACCGCAATTGTGGAACGACCTCCCGCACAATTTAAAATCTTCCCCAAACCTAAAGTCCTTTAAGAGATCCCTCTCTACATATCTCAAAACAGAATGCACCTGTCATGGTTGATTATATATTTCCGGCCTGTTAAATTTTGTATTTATTGTATATTAATATTGTTTTTGTATTTTATTGTACCCTAATTGTAACAATGCAATGATTTGTGGACCCAGAACATACTTGAAAACGAGAGAAATCTCAATGTAGCTTTCCTGGTAAAATATTTTAGAAATAAATGATAAATAATATTACAAACGTCATGTTGTACCTACTTTTGCACGTGCTCTTCCAGCTGTTTGGCAGATTTTTCCGCTGCGGCAGTTGCGGTGGAGAACTCCTGTGCTTTCTGAATTGCCACAACGATTTCTCTCTCCTTGTCATCTAATAAGTTCTTTAATTGGTGGTTAAGTCGTTCGGACTGAATAAACTGATCTTCTAAATCTTGTAGCTATAAAAAAAAACAAAAAAAAAAAAAACAAAAAAAAACTTAGCTTAGAATTTCCCAAAACATAACGTAAAATTAAGTTTAAAACAAATCCAACAGAGGGGAAAGCCATACAAACAGGCACACTTTAATTTAAAAATAATAATATACAACATGTTATACACACATACAAAAAGGAATTTATGGGATGTGGAGCTCAGTAATGACAGCAGTTTCCCGATGTAAAAACATAAAATTGCTGCAAATTAACAGGTGCTGCTTGCGTGTTTTATTTTTGCCTTTAAGTGGAAGGTTCTATGGGCTGAAAGCGGATCTGTCACTTTTTTGGGTGTCTGCATAATTTGCAAAGCCCCCGAAAGTGACATCTGCGGTGAAGGTTTATGGGGTGCAGGGGGAGGTGGTTGTACTTACCTGAAGCTGTCCCTCGTGGCCGCCATCCTCACTTTACTCATCCTCTTCTGCTCCTGGTTACATCTGCCAGAAGCAGCAACAATACACCACTGAGCCTTATAGAGGATCCTGTGAGAGCCCCATGGACCGATGTCTGAATCCCACTTTTGACAGCTACTGGGTTTGGATAGAAGTTAAAGGAACATTATAGGGTCAGGAACTCAAAAATGTATTCCTGACCCTATAGTGTTAAAACCACTATGTAGCCCCCTGGCCCACACTCAAACCCCCTATAGTAAAATCTTACCTTTATTCCAGTCTGATGGTGCTGGCTCTGCCCCTAATCTGCCACCTTGGCTGACGTCATCAGAAGTGATGAACTCAGCCAATAACACTGCTTTCCCATAGGAAAGCATTGGATTGGCTGAGTTTGCCAAGGAAGAGGGCCAGGGAGCGGACCCAAACACCGACCTGCCCAATCAGCATCTACTCAGCGATGATGCATTGAATCAGGCGAGTTCAGTGTCTCCATGCAGAGAGCACCTATAGTAGCCATCTGAGAAGTGGCCACTGCATGTGTCCCTAGATTGTAATGTAAACACTGCCTTTTCGCTGACCATGTTTACTGCAAAAAGGCTGCAGGGAATGACTATACTCACCAGAACAAATACAATAAGCTGTAGTTGTTCTGGTGACTATAGTGTCCCCTTAACAGAGCTCTCAGCCTTTTGTCAACCTCAGATTTACCATAATACAAGGTAGTCCCAACTCTGTTTTATGGTATCTTTGGATTGTGTTGGAACTTTAATTACATCTTAAAGCAGTCAAGATCAGTAGTTTGTAAAGATTGTATCTTCGTGAAATACTGAAAAGTGACAAAGAGACGCTTTAAGAGAAGTGCCTCATCTTTATGAGAAAACAATACAACATAAGTCATTGTAATAAGCATAAAAATCCTTACAAAAAAAAGCCAAAACAAAAAAGAAAATGTAACTGTACATTCAGAAAGAATAGGGAGAATCGTTTTCCATGCCATAATCATACCTATCTGGACTACTCGAATGAAAGGTAAGGTCCTCCTAAGAATGTCCTCCAATTTTAAGGGCCTAACCCTGTATATTGAGCGTATAATGCTATGTAAGAGATTAGCCCCAGACGAAGGCGCAATACTATAGCGCCGAAACGCGCGTTGGGTGGTTTTAATGCTTAGTTTTTAGTTTGTTTTGGTTACTTTGGGCTTTAGGTGATGGGTGTTAGTGTTATTTAATTTTAGCTTGGAGGGGAGGTTGTCTCGAGGTGTCTTCAGACTGTTTAGCCATCTGTATGGAAGTTTAAGGATACTTACTTGCTTTAATGTTGGGGGTATGATTACTCCTATAGAGGGACTTACTAGGGAGTCCGGGTGGGAGTGTGCTATAGGATACTTTTCTCTTACGTAGCATTGTACGCTACTCTTCATTATTAGCACCAGCACGATCTATATTACACATAGAATCCAACGGCAGTCTGACACTCTTGACAGTCTGGACCTCGGTCCCACTCTTGCAGGTTACATCTAGACTCCCTATTTCTCCCGTGTTTATTTAATTACTCGAGGGAGCTCTGAGGAGCATTTAACATTTACCTGCTCGTATGTTAGGGGCATTTCAGCTCCTTGTCTGGGATTTTATATTGGGACTTTTTAGGGAAGCCGGGTGTTAGTTGGTCATACAGTACTACTCTATTGTATTAGAGCGGATGTTTCTCTCTTGGAATTAGTATCTATTCTGAAAAATAGAACCTGAGGACAGTTCGATACTTTTCTAAACGCCTTGGAGATTCACTGTCTGGCAAACGCAGATCTGGGTCCGTATACGCTGAGGTTTACCCCTCAAGGCTCTACCGTTCTGAGAGAACCTCATAAAGGATACGGTTTCTATTTTAGACACTATCCATCTTATAACTGTGAGACCTCTTTTTAACGGTATGACTATACAAACACAAGTCTGATACTGTATTACATAGAATCAGTTTGTGTTTTCACCGATAGCCTGCCTGTGTACATTTGAGTTAATCTATATACTACCGAATCACGATATAGGCTGCAGTTTATTACGTCTTAAGTTAACACATACTGTTCTCTAGAGGTAGACTTGCATGCACGAGCTTGGTCTATTTAGTAGTATTCAGCTCCTGTAGGCATTTATATATAGATCCATTCGTATCACCCTAAGTAGAGATACTTATAAGACATTTCGTGATAAGTTAGTTTTCAGAAATGCTTTACCTTCTGTAGTATTCCCTGATATTATTATTATCACTATCCATCCTTAATCTGTTTCAGCTCTATGCATTAGTGTCACTCCAATAATCTGGTTCCCAGTGGGAACATTAATTTTTCTATCTGGACTACTCTCCTACTTCTCCATTTTCTAAAAAAAAAAAATATAAAAAAAAAGAATTGTCCTTTAACATGGACACTCTGATTTCAGTAAGATTCCTGTACCTATCCCATAAATCTAAGGAATAAGATCTGGCAGAGAAAATTCCCCAGCTAAATTTGTAGCTAACTAGGTACATCATCAGGTGTGTACTTGTATCTTTTTAAAATATTATCATCACGGCACATTTAAAAGGGGGGTTTAAATTATTGCTTGGAGCCCTCCTTTAAATGCTTTAAGTAATGCGCGTGCAATCCCTTCCAGAAGAATTATTGGACTAGATCAGAGACAGTAGTATAGATCAGCTTCACGCACAAATTGGGTATACAGTCATTGCTTATTTTTTACATAAATAAAGCATTTTAAGGGAAAGATAAGGTTTATATGCAGTACGAAGTTCCAAATCCTGATGTGTGACCGCTAAAAACAATGTACCCCCCTATTTGTTTTAGTTTAAGTGATTGGTAAGCAACTTAAAAAAGACACAGTATAGAATCAGGAACACAAACATATATTCCTGACCCAACCGTGTTAAAAACACCATCTAGCCCCGCTCCCCTTACCCCCCTATATATAGTAAAATCTTAAGTTTTTTTCCAATCTGCTGCTCCTGGCTCTGCCCCTGATCTATGTCCTTGGCTAACATCAGCAGAAGTTATGATCCGAGCCAATTACAATGCTTTCCCGTAGGAAAGCATTGGATTGGTTATGACTGTCAAGGAGGCACATCAGGGACAGAGCCAGCACAAGCCAAACACGGCCCTGGCCAATCAAGATCTCCTCATAGAGATACATTGAAACAATGCATCTCTATGAGGAAAGTTCAGTGTTTCCATTCCAACGTTCCATTGCAACATTGTTTAATTTTGTATCTTCTCTGTATGTGTTCTCTATGCCGGTACATAGGGCAGATCTTATAACAATGGTTGACAAGGGGCTAAGATGGAAGAACCCAGTTGCAGTTGTAGATAGGTCACAATTACTACATTCAATTTTATTTTTCATATCTCACAAATACATATTTGTTAATGATTGGGGATAAGTAAACTTACGATTAGAACTTCTTAAAGGACCATTAACAAAGCGGTCTTTTAGATTTAACCAATTAATGGAAAACATTGCAGTTTGTTAGATATGTTGCAGGGTTAAAACACACCTCTTGTTGTCTTCGTGACACCCACTAGTGGCATTTCTGCTGTTAGAACCGAATTAAACTCTGCTCTCACAGCTAACCTTCATTTGAAAGGTAGAATGCAGTGATGGTTGCACATGTGCTTTTAGTCCCTCCCATAGAGGAGCATTGCACTGGACGTAAAGAAGAGTTGTCATGATGTCGCAAGATGCTGACTGAGTAGCTGCAAAGACTGGATCTTGACACTGGAAAAAATGGGCGTAAAACCCACCTTTTCCATTTTTTACTTAGATTTATGGGAGGGGAACTTGAAACTAAACGCAGAGACAACTACTACAGGTTTGTTTTCCTAATGCTACAGTGTTCCTTTAAAGACCAATCCCATGCCATACAGGCATGGACTCTCCTGCATTGGCAGCTTTCATTGAATAAACAGGACATTTATATGTATATTCGAGACTTACCTTATTTCTACATTTTTCCACTTCTTTTTGAAGGTTCTGTTTTTCTTCTTCCAAGTCATTTCGATATCGCGTTATCACCTCCAGGGAAGCCTCAGACATCGATAACTTCTTAAACGCATCAGCCAGTTCCTGCTGCAGCTGCCTCCGTGCACTCTGAGAGTATATATTTTGTTAATATGAAACAAATCAGCCATGTTTTCTTAACATATAATAAATACAAACAAATGTATTAGTGCGTAAATTCCTGCAAGAGTATTCTTACTGGCTGTAGGGAGACCCCCATGACATAGATGCACAGTACAAGAGTTTAGCAGTAGGGTTACTGGCACTGAAAGGGTTAATATTGCGGCTCTAGGATGGGTGTGTGAACTGAAGAGGACTGCACTAAACAATTATTTCAATGTTTGGCCTGGTTGTCTCACTTTCTGAATTGATAGACTAGTGGGATTTCTGATCTGTGATGTCGCTGCTGAATTTGTGCACCCCTTCTCTTTAATGATAGCTCTAGAACAAGCATGTCAAACTCGAAGGCTAACTTGGACCAAATAAACAAGGTTTTAGTTTGTGGGCCGCAAAAAAACAAAAACTCCAGTTTTCATAGAAATGTAGGTTTATTTTGAAAAGTACAATATAAAAAATGTTGCCTAACTGACGTCCTCACGGTCGTAGGGCTTCAAAGTAAACAAAAGAGCGAATTTTTTTTAAGGAGACGTGCATTTGCATATAACCAATGTTTAAGCCAAACTACCTTGACATATTAGGAAAAGTTTGGTAGTAGGACTAAAATGGTGAATGTATGCTGTTGCACAGCTGTAAAAAACCAAATTACATTATCTGATTTTGTAGTCCGATTTGGCTGAGATCTTTAAACTTTATGATCTCAGCCAATCCAATGCTTTCCCATATTGTGCATGTGAGGCAAAAAAGCAGCCAATCAGAACCTCCATGCAGGCCCAATCTAATACACTACTACCTCCCTCAACTCTAATACACTGCCCCCACTCCCCAATTTAATACACTGCCCCCACTCCCCAATTTAATACACTGCCCCCACTCCCCAATTTAATACACTGCCCCCACTCCCCAATTTAATACACCTTAAACTACTCCCCAATTTAATACACTGCCCCCACTCCCTCCCTTAAACTAATCTACTGCCCCCTCTCCCCAATTTAATACACTGGCCCTCTCCCTCCCCCCAAATTAATACACTGGCTCCCCTCCCCAATTTAACACACTACACAGGAAGGTCCCCAAAGCCCCTCTTCTCCTGCCTTAAGATGAGCTGTCCTCCAGTTCCAGGCCTGCTTTTCTCTGCTTAAGCAGGCCAGACGCTCCTCTGGCACTGCGAGCAGGAGGGATGGGGAAGTGGCTGACCTGCTCTGCAGATAGACAGCCATGCTGTGCTCTTGTGGCCATGGGAGGGAAGACCAGCTTCAGACAGGAAATATCTTTCCTGTCTTGCGGCTGGTCACAGCCACAGCACAAAGCGCCCCAGGGCACGCGGGCCGCAAATACATTCATTATGGGCCGCAAGTTTGACATGCTTGCTCTAGAACCATTACTTTGAATTCTGATTTTTAGTATTCAAACAAAACGTGAGTCTAGTAGTATCAGGGTTTTACTGGCATTTTTTTTTGTAAAGAATCTCAGTGAACATTGACAAAATAAAAAAAGCAAAATCATGTTGTTTGAAGTAAACCAGCAGCTCATGCAAAGATCTGGAAGTAGCTGCAAAAGCCAAGAAGTAGATCCTGGTTCTCTGACCGCAGCTTTCATTCCATTTTCCGCATCTCCCATGCATTTGTTTTTGTGAGCAGCTGTCACTGACTGGGAAAATCATGCACGTGTGGACAGCTGTCCAGCTTCATTTAAATATTATGCACCAAGAGTTCTGCTCTACTGGACATTTGAAACACTGTATTAGACATTAATAAACAAAAATTGTTTCGTACCTCTCCCTCAACTTTCTCAGTCTCAAGCCGGTAGACTTGCTCTCGCAGTTCATTTGACTTATTGATTAAGTCTTTATTTCTTTCTTCCACCAAGTGAACTTGCCTCTCGGTATCAGCGCGCAGCTTGCTGAATATATCCGTAAACTTGTCTTGGGCATCGGTCACCAACTTATCTTTAAAGATACCTTTACTCTGCATGTCTTCTAACTGCTGCCGAAGCTGCATGTTCTCGCTTTGAATCTGAGCTAGTCTCTCTTGCCTGGATTCGAGTATTATCGTATTTTTGTTTATCTGGTCTTTCTCAGTTTGGAGCGTACTCTCGAGTTCCTTTATTCTGCATTGAGCTTGAGTCAAATCCCTTTGTGTACTTTCTAAAAGTACGACCTTCTCCTGGAAGGATAACCCTCGTCGGTGAAGATCACATTCCAGTTCATTACTTTTGGCTTCAGCTCTGCTCAGTTGCTGAGATAAGTTTTTATTGTTTTCACGTATGCTGGACAACTCGTGGTCTAACTTGTCCTTTGAACGCATCCACTCATCTCGTTCCCTTTGAAAGGTGCGTTCAACTTCTGTTTTTAACATCTGACTTTTCTCCTGTTCCTGTTGCGTAGAATTCAGACGGGAACGGAACGACTCCAGTTCGGTTTCTAGTCTTTCTTTGGCCTGTTTTTCATGCTCGAGCTTAGTGCAGAATATCGTAGCTTCTGTTTTCAGTGCATTAAGTTGTCCATTATACTGAATTAAATTCTGAGTTAAAGCTTCCTCGTTAATTTTTAGGTCTTTTTTAAGGTCATCAACCTTTTCTTTTAACACCTCATTTTCATCCAGGTATTGGCGCTTTTCTTCTTCATTTTGACACTGGACCTTTTCCAGTTCTTGCTTAAGTAAAGTGATTTCTTCTTCCAGTGCATGATTCCTTTGTGATAAGTCTTTCACTCTCTCTGTAGTTTCTGAAGGTTGGCTATGGACCTGTAAATGCAAAGATTTAGATTACTTTTCATGCATTTGTGATATATAGATAAATACTGATGTTCCTGTACTGGTGTCAAATCTTCCTAAATCAGGAAATGGTTCAGCCAATCCTGATGATCCTAACCCTAATCCTAAAACTGAAGTTTGAGTTTGGTGTCCCACTTCTGGGAACACAAGAACAAATTCACTAAACTATCTAATTTGAGTGCACCAAGTGAGCTTGCGAAGTGACTTATCTACCCTTGTAAAAACGTTTCTGCAGCTCACCAAGCAAAAACTAGCGGATGGAAAAATCAGCTTATTAGCCTAGTGTGTGTACTTCTTGCACTAGGTTGAGAAGTCCTCTTTATAGAGGAGTATGCCACCACACATCCCTAGTGATGTCATTTGCACCTCTCTGCTCACTGCTGCATCCCCTCCTGCCTTCGATTTATACCTCCACAGAACTCAGAAAATGATCATATTTAGACAGAAGTCTCCCATGACCATCATATAACAAAAAACAGAACAAGGTACCTCAACACTTTTTGACAATATTATTTTTGCTGCTTCTTCTTCTTCATTCTTCCTCCTCAAATTATTTAGGAAATCTTCTTGAAGAACTCTGGCATTACGTTCTTGTGACAGCAACCTCTGAGCTTCGTTACGTTCTTCTTCAGCCTGAAAAATGGCAATGATGACATCTGTGTATCTACAAACATTACACCAAGAAAGTATACTAATAAACTAAAAGCAATGCTTAAAGAATAGGGTGATTAAGAGACAGAAATGAGGATACTGCATCATCTTGCTATTATTATTTCCAAGGTGGAAACAAAGATAGAGTTAACAGAAGCACATTCACGTCAACGGGTTAGAGGATCATTCAGAACATATGGACTTTCCACGTATATTTCATACTATTGCGGTCTGTAAACGGTTTCTTTGTACATATTTAATTTCTCCATGATATATGGTTCTTAATACAAGGCCCTGCCACCAGGAACTACTACAATAAATTGGATACTTTGGCAATATAGACCTTGGCACTGGGTAAATAATATAACTAAGAGGTCTGATTTTGTTACATAATAATGCTACATTTGCAGAATGTTACAATGGAAGAATGGTTCATCAAGCCAACACCAGGTGTTATTTGGGTCTGTTTGACAATGATAAGAACCATTGGTTTATTATGAAACCATGCACACGGTTCTGTTAAAGTACTACATTTGCGATGAGAGGTTACACGTAATGTATTGAACACTTGCTCTATTTATCCCGGACTCAAAATACCTGTTTCACGTTGTTGCTCAAACTGCGCAATTCACGCTCCATGTTTCGCACGGTCATCTCCAGCTGCTGCTTGTCCTCCATTTCTTTGCAGCATTGATCCTCCTTCTTTCTCAGTTGTTCTCTGCTTTTCTCGTACAGTATATCCGCACTCTTTCGCTTCTCCTCCTCTTGTTTCAGCATAAACCTAGAAAACATTCCAGAAAGCACTTTTTTTTTTTTTTTTTTTAAACCATTTAGCCAGTTTCCCTGTATTTTTCTACAGTTGCAACACGCCCACCCCGGTGTAATACCAACGACATAGCAGTTTACTAATCAAGAACTCACACCACAAGCAAAACAAACACAATTCTGAAAACCAAACCCCAGTGTTCTATAACCTTCTGTATAACTTGGTACATTAAAATGAAGGTTAGTGTTAAGGTGGTTTTAATTTAGGAGAGATTATGGTGTTGTTTTGGTCTGCTCAGCTCCTCTATCAAGAATGGACGTAAATAATGAAGACTGCTGCCTAGGAATGCAACTCCCGCAAATCTTGGGCAAACTGTCAAAATATATATGTCTCGGTGCTGTCCGGAGACTAGGGGCTGCACATTGTCATTAATACTGAGCACTATAGTTTTGAAAGCAGAGTATGGGATGTTATAACATGAACTACCCAGAGACATATATCTGTAATGAATTAATAGGTCTATAGCTGTCTGTCTCTGGGCAGATCATGTGTTCCCATCCCATACTTTGCATTATAATGTACCTATAACAACAAATAGATAAATGACAAATGACTGTTACATTGCTAACCTTAAATGATTCAGGTCACTTTCCCATTCCAATTTTTGGTGATCCAGCACGGACTTTAACTCCCTGTTTTTTTCCGTTATCTGCTGCAGATCTTTATGATTGCTTTCCATTTTTTTTACTTTTCGGAGCAGAAGGGAGTATCGTCCGTTTTCTTTTTGCAATGATCTTTCATATTTGCGGATTATATCTTGAATTTTTAAGAGGTTCAGAGAATCTACATAAAAAGGAATACATGCACATATTGCATGGATACAGAACTGCGTGTTTCATAAAATATAAAATAAATTCTATATGCTTATGTGAATAAAATAAACAAACATTACCTTGACCATCAACGTTGAGCTGCTCGACCAATAACATTGCATTTTTGAACGTGGGCGATTCAGTAACATCAGTTGTAGTATCGGAGGACTGGGAAAGCTCATCAAATTCATCTCCATCGTCAATCTATTGAAAATCAAAATACAGGTTCAGGTAAGAGCCTTTACTTTTTAACTTTAGCCAGACTGACAGCAGAAACCTTTGTTCCCTCCCCCAGTCCCACCGATAACTTCAGATTCTTTAGCTGGTAAGGTCGTCCATACCGGATGTTCTTTGAAGATGGTTGTTTATGGAAGTGAACGTATTTGTCTACCAACAGAACTTTAGTTTCAAGATTATGGCCGTGATGTTTAAAAGGAGTAATATGGGCCTCACACAATTTGTTCACAACCTCCTCACATTTTTTGGGGATACTGATCTAATACAGTAATGACATCTTGGGTCTTGTGAGACAATATTCCATGATATTACCTTATCTTTTTCGTTAGAGAATTTATCATCCCTAAAAATAAAGGAATAAAAATAATTATTATGACAGAATACACAGAAAGAAATCTTAATATTACACATGCGAAACATATCACAAGAAGAGGTATAACTGACAGATCCCTGTGAATATGACAAAGGTGTGAAGTAGCCTTTACTCTACTCTACTAGGATTATTAATTGATTTCCAAATGTAAAGGCAGAGTCGCCAAACTGAAAAGCATAGCTGACTTCGAGAACGTTTCCAGTTTGGCTATTTTGGCATTTAATTAAAATAAATAAAGCCGGATGTCGCTGTGGGAAATGCAGATCCAGCACTGGAGGCAACCTATGAGGTTACACTGTTCTTGAATAGTTTAACTTAGGAAAGAATGCACCCAGTGGCCCTCTGTCACCATAACAACCTAATTTCAGCAATCTCTTTTTGCAAATCACTGCAGTTATAAAATGCTCTCAGAAGACTGAGAGCAGAGTATTCTCTGACCCTTTAAATATAGAGTTCCAAGAAGGAAGCATTACAACCCCAATGACTGTAAAGACTTAATTGCTAAACGAATGATATCTTGCTTAGTTTGGCAATTACGTCCATCATTAATGATAATGATCAACGATATCATTAATTTAGCAATTACGTCTTTACAGTCATTAAGGTTGTAATGCTTCCTTCTTGGAACTCTATTTAAAGGGTCAGAGAATACTCTACTCTCAGTCTTTGTTCGGACAGCATCTTATACTGCAGCGATTTGCAAAAAGATTGCTGCAGCGATTAGGTTCGCTTTTATGTAATTTTTCCCCATATTGTGCACACAGATGCAGGGAGAGAGAGAGTGCAACCACACTTGCTTCCGGTAACCATTTTATCCCCACAGTTTTAGATTTACGAAGTGCCAGTATATTCACATAGATGAAATATACAAAGTGAAGAGGAGTATGATTTAAAGAAGGCGCTGCTCAATTCAGACTTTTAATATTCCCACTAGAGCGAACAAATGTACAAGATTATACTGGAAGCTTTATCATACCTTCCATTGTCTTCCTGCGATGTTTCACTAAACGTGCTGTCATCATATACATCCAGTAAGTGCCCATTTGTAGTGGCTTTCTGTTGCTTATCAGGGATTTTAATTCCAAGTGGTTTCCTTGTTCGTTTAGATCCATCTTTCCTGATGGGACAAAAAAACAAAAATAAAACAAACGAAGAAATAGATAAATATAACGTAATACGATGATATCCTTGCAAACCCAATTGTGCACAAAAACCACCGGGAGATTGCTACTTGAAATGCAGCATATTATGCGTATAGCTGAATGTAAAAGATTTGGGGGTTATTTGTGAATGCACAGGGTGTTAAACCCTCGTTTAAAATGGAAACATTGGGTTAAGTGGATTGATATTTATTTTCTTAGCTGTCAAGGCATTCTGTGTTTCATAACCTGCAGGCCCATTAAGTTGGGTATTCGGGAGTAATTTACAACACCTGCCACGTCGTTAAAGGGACACTATAGTCACCAGACCAACTACAGTTTATTGTAGTAGTTTTGGTTAGTGTAGTCAGTCCCTGCAGGCTTTTTGGTGTAAAAACACTGTCTTTTCAAAGAAACAGCAGTGTTTACATTACAGCCTAGGGCTGAATTAAAAAAGTGAATTAATTCCTAAATTACACAGAATTGAGCAGTTACACTGCAGAGCTTGATCTATACAGCAAGACCACTCTATTAAAGGGACACTCCAGGCACCCAGACCACTTCTGCCCATTGGTTTTCATAAACTGCAATATTTACATTGCAGGGTTAACTCCCCCTCTAGTGGCTGTCTACTAGACAGGCACTAGAGGACACTTCTGTGTTCATAGAACACGAAAAGTGTTTTAAAACGACGCTGGACGTCCTCACACTATGTGAGGATCTCCAGCGTCACCGAAATCCCCTTGGAAAAGCATTGAAAGCATTATTCAATGCTTTCCCAAGGGGAGGTCCATTGCCACGCATGCGCATTAGGTCTCCCCCGCCTGCTGACGTCATCGGGAGAGGAGAGAAGGCGGAGCCTGACCCAGTGCCAAGGGACATCGGTGCTGGACTCCAGTAAGTCACTGAAGGGTTTTTAACCCCATTCAGCAACTTGGTATGGGTGGTGGAGGGAGAGGGGCACTAGAGGGTCCTGCAGTGCCAGGAAAACGAATATGTTTTCCTGGCACTGGAGAATCCCTTTAAGCTAAAGTTGTCTTGATCCTTATAACATCCCATTAAAGAAATCTTTTAATAGCTAAAATACACAATATAAAATTGGTCACTCCACTTATATGTCTGCATATAAAATTGTATATTTTAGATTAATAAAAGATTTTTTGGTTACTCCACTTGTGCCAATCATCTTTTCAATACACTTTTATTGATTTTATTTTTACCTGGCATTTTAATATCCTGCACTCCAAGAAATCGTAGGTGGGGGATCATACAAGCAACGCTGTCATCAAAGAGCAGGTAGCCTGCTCTTCGCTTGTGAGTACTATTTTATTTATCTTATTACTGTTGTTTAATTCAGTGAGCGCTATTAGTTGTCTCTTTGTACCCTTCTCTTGATTGTTGAACAAACCCTTGACGGAAGCAGCTCACTGCATATTGCATAAGCGGGGATTGTACCGCTGTGCGCCCTTCACACTAGAGCTATCTATAGCTCTAACAAATGTGAGTTTATTACCATCTCTTCCGTATAACGAATATATTGGATTGTACATATTACACTATTGGTTCCTCTTAATCTTGTCTTTCATATGAGTAGATCTGCCCGGATAAAGAAAGTGAGGATATTACTCCGATCAAGCATTTTACTTATTATCTGATCAGAGTAAGATCCATCCATTTGGACTCTTACTTAAATTTGGACTTATTTTATATTTGTGTTTTTTATACATATTATATTATCGCTTGCTATAGGATTTTAGCGCAGCCCTTATGTCTTTTTTCTTATCACTTTTTCTGTATTTTAAAAGGGTTTTGAGGGGAACCCCTTTTTAGGGTTGCTGCCCATTTGTTAATTAGCGCTTACTTTCTTCTCCTGGGGAACATTATTCCAGAAGCTGTTTGGCAAATTACTGTCATTGCTGTCCTCATCTGCCCTCTATTTGGTCAACTTTACTTGACCTTGTCTTTTCACAATGTACAAATAGCTTCATGGATGGTAATCCAGAATTATTTCTCGATTTGTAGCTATGATTTGTAGACGAAGTGATCCAACAGAATTTACTGTGACAATCCATTTAAATATGATATAACCGGTACAACCTCTATTCAGACAGACCGCAGTAGCTTCCATGGATTTTGTGAAGACAATGGTGCTCACAAAAGAACACCTCTTTTCCCATCCTCCACACACCTCCCTCATACACCTCCCAGGGAATTACTTATTTTGATAGCAGGAACAGTAGCAGATTTGTGAACACTGCTGTCAGAATCTCAAAAATGCATTACAGCTAGAGTTGTGTAAATATAAAAAAAAAGTTATTTATTACAGAAACAATAAGATAGGACTGTAGAGCTGGAAAAAACAACTACTCAATATAAACTTATGAAATGCCAGGTCATTTATACCTAGCTGTATTTGTCACTTTCATACAAGACATATTTGCCTTACCCTTTGAATTGACTCTGTCTTGCCATTTGCTTAGTTTTATCTTGTAGATCAGAAGTAACAGGTGTCTTTAGCACATCCTTGCCACTGTCACACACATCGTCACCTTCTGGTTTCATTTGCACACTTTGAGGTTTTTCATTTTCTTTCTGATAAACCTAACAAAGCAAAACACAGGGTAAATTGCCTATTGGTCAATCAATATGCTGTTGGTTAGTACATTAGCCAGGAACTATATATAAACAAAACAAAAAAACATATACACCGCACAGACAATGCAAGCTTCGTAAAACAAAGAAAATACAAAACACAGCATACACAATGCAAGCTTAGTAAAACAAAGAAAATACAAAACACAGCATACAAAACATGTAATGGGAAACACAAAAACATATGAATTTGTATGATGCTTACACAATTATTGAAAATGATTAAACATCAAAAAAATGGAAACTCATAAGAAATGAGAAGAATTAAGATATAGTTGTGATTCATGGGCAGATTGTGGCCTTGAGAGATTGCAAATACAAGACGAGAGAGTAAGCACACACCACAGCAGAATGAAAGTCCCCCAAATGATAATCCAGGTACAGTTTGAGCTTTGATGAAAGATGAACGAAACACAAAGATGGAAACACACCATCGTCCAAGTAGCAGGTTTCGTGAGGAGAAGACAATTCAGACAGACTTTTCCCCCAATGCTTGCCAAGCTCTTAGTGAATGATTTGGGTACAAACCTTTACAGTACAGGAGAGACTCATTTTTACAGACTAGTAAAAATGAACATTCATATGGAAAGAAATCAGAGAAATGGGAGTTTCCATTAGACAAGCGTCTACCTCTCTCTGAAGTGGTCCATTCCCTTTCACCAGATTCAGGAATACTGATTGTAGCATTCCTACCTCATTCTTAAATCTTTGCATATCTTGCTCCAATTGTTTATCCAGAGGCTTTCGGTGAACTTCAGAGAATGACTGTGACGCCCTTGGGTTCTCAAGTGGCACTTGTACAGGTTGGTTACTATCAAGCTCACTTTGTTGCGGGCAATGCAAATTCACGTGTGTTTGGGTTACACTTGTTTTCTTCTCGGTTGATCCAGGTTTTAAAGACTGTAAAAGTCTACAACCTTTATTTTCAGTATTAAACTCCAATATATTATTCTCTCTTTCTTCAGTAGTGGACGGAAATGACTCCTGCAAATATTTCTTTATCTGCACGCTAGAAACGTCAAGCTTAAAGTCACAGTTTTTATTTGTGAAAAAGAGGTTGTTTTCTTTTTTTTCAGAATGTTTAGCACCACCTGTTTTATCTGTTCCAGGAAAGTGATCACAGTTCAGCTTAATTTCCAGAGGATTTTTTTCTGCATCTGTACCCAAAAGAATAGAGTCACTGCTTTGAAAGTCTTCACCCACTTGGTCATTTGTTGAGTCGGGAGTTTGGCTGTTAGACTGGATAAGGTCCATCCGTGGTTGTAATTTTGCCATTGCCAGTAATGCATTATCTTTTTCTAGGAACACATTTTCTTGTGATGAACTTAACGTAGCAGTATTTTCTATATCCATATTGTGCATTTCATTTTTGCTATTGTTTGGATTATCAGAAATTGAGATGGTCTCTTTTTTCTTAGTTTCAGTAATTTCTCCAAACTTGTGCTTCAGTTCTGCTGCTACCTCTTTGAAATGCGTTTTCACTTCCTTCTTCTCACGGTCAACCCACAGTTTTTCATATCTCTCCTCCCATGGCTGCTCTGAGTCGGACGACGACGACGACGACGACGACTCCAGATTGTATTCGACACTTTGCACCACCTTTGGTTCAAATGGCTGCTGTGAAGTCACTTTGTTTTGAACATGACTGCTGACTTCATTGCCGACTGTCAAGTTGGCTACCTTTAACATGTCCTCAACCTCCATATACACAGACAAAACAAATCAGACAATGAACAAGTTACACCTAATAAAACGGAATGCATGTTTTTGTTCAACTTGATCACAATCTAAATTGAAGAGTTTGCAACTTATTTGAAGGAAGTGATCAACAACTCTCCATCTAGTCAATTAGCCCAAAATACAATTTGCCACTCCACCTCTTCAATCAAAATGTAACCTTTTATGTATGAAATTACATGTGAAATCTGCCTTTCTATGATTGATCCTATACCTTCCCAACTCATGGGAAGTTAATTTGCAGTGGCTTGTTTGAGTAAACAATTTAAAAACGGATGTTCACAATTCGTCATGTACGTTTTCTTTTTGTTATGTCTGCAAATTAAATTATATAAAAGCTGGTAATATAACAGACATAACAAGTAAAAAAATACATGTATAACCAGACGACAAGAAAATTACCCTAAGCAAGATCCATGGCAGCTAGGATACACCATTTCAAGTTAAAGGACCACTATAGTGCCAGGAAAACAAACTCATTTTCCTGGCACTCTAGGTTCTTTAGGGCCCCCCCACCCCCATGGCCCCCCTCCTGCCACGCTGAAGGGGTTAAACACTTACTTTTCTACAGCGCTGGGCTCCCTCGGCGCTGGGGAACTCTCCTTCCTCTTTTGACGTCAGCGCTGAATGCGCAGGAAGAGCCACGTGCGCATTCAATCAGTCCATAGGAAAGCATTTCTGAATGCTTTTCTATGGACGTCAGCGTCTTCTCACTGTGATTTTCACAGTGAGAAGCGCCTCTAGCGGCTGTCAATGAGAGGCTGGATTAACTCTAATGTAAACATAGCAGTTTCTTTGAAACTGCTAGGTTTACAGCTGCAGGGTTAACCCTAGACGGACCCGGCACCTAGACCACTTCATTGAGCTGACGTGGTCTGGGTGCCTATAGTGATCCTTTAAGAAAAAACTAATTTGTTGTGTTTGCAGTTATGAAAAATATTGATATGAGTCTTGATTAACTCATTGATGAATGAATGATGTAGTTTTTAATTGATAACCCATAACACGTTACCAATATAAATGACTGGTTCTCAGAATACTTAGATGTCACGTTTTTGATTTGTTTGAAACAATTCATACTTTGAAAATTAGAACTTCAATAACACTTACCACTGCACTGTGATTTACTTGGGTTAGCACTGCTTTCTTTAAAGAGTCTGTAAATAAAACAAAATTAATAGTCACTGCATTTCTAAAATCTATTTTGAAAAATAGAAATGGACAGGATAAATATCATGCAACCCCTGTTTAGGTTTCCTTTCTTGATCTTTACCCCGATCTGGACTGACCAATCCTTACACTAGCGAGCGAGTTTTTATTTTTTATCACTGAAGTCCAGGGATTCTATCCCCTTTTGTTATTCTTCTACCTTATCTCATAGCTTTCTTTGTTCCTCTTTGTTCTATCTCTGAACTTTGTCTTCAACTCGAATTTGTGTTATTCCAACTCTCTTCATATATTGATCACAATTCCACACCCTCACTCTCAATACAGCTATCCAATTACAATGATTTATTTCACCAATTTTTTTTTATTTATTTTTTACAGAAAAAAGCGGATTTGCTTTATACCAGAATAAAAACAGTGGGCTAACCGTTAGATATGAATGGACATTACAGAATAATTTAGATTTTTTTTTTTTGTCAACATGCTTATTATCATGGGAACATTTAAAATCTAGAACCATTTATAAAGATAGTTACATAGGCTGAAAAGAAACATGTTTTACTGCACCAGATTGAAGAAGCCATTCTGGAACTATTTATATTATTATTTGATATTTTAATTGTAAGTTCTAATAAAGTATATACTTTTTAAGGTTTATATTTTATTTTACCATCAATGTTCCTGCATTCTACAACCAAGGGGTGTATGGTCCCTAACCATACTCTGCTGTTCAACTGAGCCAATTACTAGGCTCCAGGCTTGTGAGCCTAGTACCTATTTATACGAAAATATTTGTTACAAACGGTATCACACTATCTTTCCTTGAGATACTGCATACTATTGCTGAATACACAAGAAAACTCCTAAACTACTCTCCATAAAGAAAAGGGGGCAGGTCGCCTAAACTGACCTACAGGAAAATAACTCCCAGAGCTAGGTTATAGCTCTGGAATATGTGAGTGTTCCAATTTATGTGTATATCACACATATGTACATAAGGGTACTGCACTATTTCTGTTTTTTTTTGTATTTTTCTTAAAGGTATACACAACATTGGATGTTCAAGGATATGTAAAAAAAAATATGGTGTGTATATATTTTATATATTTTATATATATATATATATATTATATATATATATATATATATATATTCATTCCTTGTTTGCAGTAGGTGTACTATTAAGTTTTATTCACATATTTAAGCGCTCCACTGAATCTGGTATGAAAAGAGACATGTGCCCATCAAATTCAGCCTTCCTCACGCGTTTTTTGCTGTTGATCCAAAAGAAGGCAACAAAAAACAAAACACAAAAAACAGTTTGAAGCACTTCCAATTTTGCAACAAACTAGTGGGGGAAAAATCCTTGTTAACTCCAGAATGGCAGTCAGATTTATCATTGGATCAAGAAGCTATTACCATACAGTTCAAAAATGATATCATTGAATTTATGATAAGTTTTAAAAGAGGACTAGCAGCACAAACTATGGAAAAAGTAGAACTTGCCATTGTTTTTTCCCATTTGTTCAAAATCCCTCTTGGAGGAGTTTAGTACATTTTCTTTCAAGACAGACTGGACGTGCTTTTCATCAAAATCATCATCATCATCATCATCATCCTCTTCTTCTTGTGGTACAGGAGGCAAACTAGAAGACAGGTCCACAGTCATGGGCTCTGGTGCCGTAGTTCTAGGTTTAGCCTCTAGAGGGAGGTCTTCCGTCAGCCTTTCAGTCTTGTGTGTAGTAGTAGTGGTGTATTTTGGGGAATGGCTGGTTGAATCCCAGTCAGATACATCTAAAGGTAACAATATGAATCTTATTAACATTAAATGATCTCCCAAGTCAGCAACATTCTTTATTACAGTAACCTACAATGATATATGAAGGTGATGAGCAAAAATGAAACTTCATGCAAATTGAGATATGGAAATATATACTATAACTTTTAGATTAAAATAAACTTATCAGTTGGCAGGAATTGCAGCAAAGTACTTAACTACATATAGTTACATAGCTGAAAAGAGACTTGCCTCCATCAAGTTCAGCCTTCCTCACATATGTTTTTGCTGTTGATCCAAAAGAAGGCAAAAAACCCAGTCTGAAGCACTTCCAATTTTGCAACAAACTAGGAAAAAAAAATTCCTTTTTGACCCCAAAATGGCAGTCAGATATCTCCTTGGATCAAGAAGCCATTACCCCACTAACTAGAAATTATATCCCTGTATGTTATGCTTTTACAAGTATTTATCTAATTGCTGTTTAAACATCTGTATGGAATCTGATAAAACCACCTCTTCAGGCATAGAATTCCATATCCTTATAGTTCTTACTATTCCCTTAACCCCTAGTTTCAAAATAAAAAGAATGGGAGCATCGGGACACTATCTGACATGAGCAGAAGTCACTACGGATGCATATTTTTAATACATTATTTAATGTTATAAGATTAGGGGTTCACTCCATCCTTCAAATTACTGTGAATGATGTGCTCAGTACGGTTCACTATACTGCGTTATATAACGTGGTACATGGATACAGAGTATTTCATTCTGTAATTCGGACACTGCTGATTAAATATAACCACTTAAAAGGGGATTCTGGAAGTTAATCTCACCCTGTTATAAAACACTCTGTTATTAGGCAAACTCAACTTGTATGTCAGAAACCTGCTGGTTACAATGTACTCCCTGTGCCATCTAATAATGGCTTTAAAGATATACACAGCTAATGACTCTGAACCTGTTTTCACAGATATAGCTATATACTGTGTAATCAAATCTCAGCATCGGAGAGTTAGTTTGTGATGATATTTTACAGTCCATTCTGGTATCATTGGACTTCTGGACTTTTCTTTCTCCGCTGAGAAGTGCCGTTATAGATATATAGTTACACAGTTCAATTAAAAGGCACACTAAGTACCAAAACCACTACATGTTAATTTGGTGGTTGTGATGTATACCTGCTGGTTTTTTTTCTAGGGCAATGTTTGCAATTAGTAAAAATTTTGTCTAGAGTTGAGTCTTTCTTACAGCCTTCATGTAAAGCATGACAACGTGCGCAGTTCATTCATCTTCATATAAAAGCAATGGACTCAATGCTTCTCTATGAAAAGCACTGAACTGGTGGAGTGCAGTGACTGCCACACATCTTCCACGTGCTATGAGGTTCTCCATCAGCCCAAGCTGCTAAGAGCAGACAATCCCAGCACTGGAGTAAAGGCACGTTTTATAGGGATTTGAATTATTATAAGGAAAATTCAAAGCACCTATAGTGGTTATGGTACCAAGAGTGCCCTACCAGGGAAAGTAGTCAAACAATTAGTGACTACAGTGGCCTGTGAGCTTATTTTGCTTGGAGGGTTTACTTTTTTTGAATAAGTATTCCAAACTTAGAAAAAGAAACAAATCTGATTAAAATAAGAAGAAAAAAAAAAAAAAAAGTGTTTTGTTTTTTTAAAAACATTTTTTTATTAGAGTGTTACTTTATAGGATTTCTAATGTGGAGTCAATAAATGCTTGTCTAAATGAGTTTTAATTACTTGATAAAGTTAGAACCAACCATCAGGCTGTGTTTTAAATTTTCTATAAACATAAATTAATTAGCAAGACAGAAAGGTGATATATCTCAAGAACCGTTTGACATTTTCTACAGTTCAATGATACCTTGGGCTGCTAGGACCAGTAGAATTTGAAAATCTATCCGAAAGTATATTAAATTCTGCAAAAGACCCAACACTCCCACCTTGTGGCAGAAAGTGCATATGCACGTTTATTACTTTAAAGGGGCACTATAGTCACCAGAACAACTACAGCTTATTGAATTTGTTCTGGTAAGTAGAATCATTACCTTCAGGCTTTTTGCTGTAAACACGGTCTTTTCAGAGAAAATGCAGTGTTTACATTACAGCCTAGTGATAACTTCACTGGCCACTCCTCAGATGGCTGTTAGAGATCCTTTCTGGGTCATGGCTGCCTAAAATGCATCCAAACATTCAGTATATCCTCCCACTGCATGCAGACACTGAACTTTCCTCATAGAGATACATTGATTAAATTGAGAAGATGCTGATTGGCCAATGCTGTGTTTGAATTGGAGCTGGCTCTGCCCCTGATCTGCCTCCTTGTCAGTCTCAGCCAATCCTATGGAGAAGCATTGTGATTGGATCAGGCCACCATTTCTGATGGTGTCAGCAGACTGCTTGTTTTTCTGAGGCAAACAGCATGCAAAACTACAGCTTCAGGCTTGAATACATGTACGATTTTGCTATATTTATGGAGGCATGAGGGGACCAGGGGGGCTAGATGGTGGTTTTAACACTATGTATTCCTGACCCTAAAGTGTTCCTTTAAAATCTACATATCTTCATTTAAATATATCTACACTTCTAATAAACCTAATTGAATATATGTAATACATTGTAACTGTCAATGCAATTTCAATAAAGACTATAAGATTAATCCAATGAATTGGAATAACAAGGTAAATAAATGTCTGCAACTCCAATCCTGCATCTCAGCATCTGCACACTGCATACAAACTTGGACAAAGTTTCTTTCTGCTCCCACAAAAGACTAGTTGCGGACCGTGGCTTTGCTGATAGCTGCATACTGCCCTGCTCATTAAACCACCAGCCATCAATGCAGGCAAACCTAATAAACAAATGATTCTAACTTGCACTAATTAAATAAAAATATATATAGATATATTAAAATGTGCTCACCGGCTGTACACAGAAAAGTATAACGGATTTACTTTATTAAGCACAAGTGCACCACGTTATGCTTTAAGGAAAGCAGGTCTCCCATCATAATCAGTATAGGACTGTGATATACTACTAGAAATAGTTCAATTTAACTGAAATTATTCTATCAATAATATATAGAGTAAATTATGCCAATTGTCCCATTGCAAGGGAATTTAAATTTCTCTGTTGACATAACTGTATCATATCTGAATACTTGCTGCAGATATTGGTATATTTTTGGGGTAAGCACTACTGTAAATTTGATCCATCGACTTCCAATATCAATGGCTCAGATAAATCATTTAAGTTTTTACATATGAATTGATTTGGTTATCTTATCACAAAGTATTATAAAATGGAAGTGGTATTACATTTAGTTTTCTTGACATTTATGACTAGCTATTACATTACATCTAAAAGACATGGGTATATCAATAAAATAATCCATCATACAAAAAAAAAAAAAAAAATACTAGACCTGGTAAACGTTACTACAAACACTACACAAAATCAGAGTACAAAATATATACAGTTTAGACACAAATAAAGATTCGGAGGCAGGAAACGAAAGGAGAAAGTCTGGATTGAATGCTCAGATTCCCACATTGTGGCCAACTATAGCCTTTCTATAAGGGACTTGAAATATGTGTATGTTTATTAAAAAGAGTCTGATGCAAACAAAATGGTTTCGCTCACATTCTCACGCAATGATTTCTCTGTATATGGATTTTTATTTTCCTTACTGGATTAGACACACACATACAATGTGAATTAAACAATCAAAAAAAACAAAAACACAAAACAGACAACACTACCTTCTATATCATCAGCATCATCTAGCCCCAAGTCTGCCATTAAATCTAAAAAATAATAATAAATATATAAACAAAATTGCACAAAGCTTAATTAGGAAAGTGTATAAAGGTGTAGTAGACAAGTAATCATTTGCAAAATAATTATTAAAAATTTACCTGACTTGACATTACTTTCACTTGCTTTAACATACGGGTACTTTGGAGAGACATCCTTTGCGGGTAAAATATTGCTAACGGTCTGCTGCTGTTTAAAACCAAAATACAAAGTAATTAATAAGAGAATTCAGATTTATTTTGCTGGGTCAATGAGAATAAATTAGTAATACCTTGTTTATTTCCACATCTGCACTCTTCTTGGACAACTCTGAATTTAAGCCGGGAACAAAAATAAAACAATATTTTAAGTTATTTTAGTTTATAAGAAAACCCAACATGCATGCAAGGCCACAATATTTTTTCTCAGGTAAGCGGAGCTCCATAGCAAATAAAGAGAGTGAACAGAGCTAATTAATTAGTATGGCAGAAATAGAGAGCGAGTTATTGCGGCCAGGCTGGTCAGTATGGTTATTGCAGTGGGTTTGTGAGGACACGTCCATACCACTTTGGCCAAAAGACTGCCATACGCCATGAGTTGGCATCTTACAGTTCCTTGATGGACTTAGAAAAGAAGGGCTGTAATACAGATCTAGTGAAGGAATCAAAACACACACTTCAAACATGATGCAATAAATGTCACATATCAAATTTAGTAAAGGAATAAACACTATCACAAAAACACAGACATCACACTTACACCCATGGATGTAGAACAATGAAGAAAGTCAAAACCAAGCCTCAAATCAAAAACAAACCGTCTTAACTAAATAATCAACTTGGTGTAAGCGCTTTTTCTAAAAGCCAAAAAAAAAAAACACAATGCGAGAAATATACAAAAACTAATTTACTGAGCAGTTTCCACTATACAAAACAAATAAATAATAGGGAGGTTGGATTACGGGTTGGGAAAAGGAATAACAGCACATTAGAGGCAATTTTACTTCCCAAAAAGTAGCAGTTCCTCCTTCCTTCACTATGTATCCTCTTTGTCGGTGTTTATTGTAGCGAATAAAGCAGAGGATGCACATGCACTCCGCATTTTCTACATATGGCAGTGCAGGGTTATCTAATTTCCATACTTTGCCTGTCCTGATCCTGTTCTTTTGAGTTTTGTCAAGTTACATCCATTGTCTCTCACTCTGAGAAACAGCTCATTGTACCTGTATAATAATGTTTTTACTATGGTAGACAGAGTTAGTTTGGAATCTCCACGTGGACGTGCTACAGAAATATGACCTAAACCTTCCTGAATCAAGATTTAATGGCCAGTATATTCCGGATATTTTGATCAGATGCCATACAAGGCTTTTTTTTTTGCCTGGTCATGAAGAAAAGACGAAGGTCCAACCTGGCTGTAGGTGCCAGGAGAGCCCTGTTTTTTTAATTTTATCTTTTAACAAAACAATTTAGAAAGGGAATAAAATGGTGGATGTCAGGTAAGGTATAATTTCACGTAGGGATTCTAAAATCCTGCTCATGTTCTAAAGTGGAATTTAAAGTTAGTGAGACTGCAATTTATAAAACATACATTCACATTAAGAAAAATCCTTGCATTTTACAATACAAACGTACCTTCATTTGACGTGTGAGCTAACTTGTTACTAGACTGTTTCCTGGGGCTATCCAAAGAGGCCTACAAAAATAATACAATCAAATAAGAAAGACAAAGTTCACAACCAATTGCATCCATCTACATACAAATTATCCTAATGATCACAAAGAGGCATTACATTATTAAGAATGGAAGAAATGTGAGATTTGGGCGGTTTGTAGGGAGAATTAATAGTCACAGAGGCACTGGAAATGTAACCCTTACAAATATGCATTTTTCAGTTGGTCCAACACGTGGTGATACTTGGGATCTTCAACTTTAACAGCTGATTGGCCTGGAGTAAACCTTGCTTTAGGACACTCACAAACATAGTGTAAGATGTGAGCAACAGCAAGTCAATTATCTGAATAAAAGATTAAGGAAAGGGTCAGCTGACCAGATTTCCACTCAGTCACTGGTTTTGGAAGTGTAAGGATCATATCCTGACAAGACTTTTTCGGTTTATTCTGTTCCTTTAAAAACCAAGTTCCTGCACTGATTTTATTTGCCACTAGTGGCCTCACTAAACCACTAGCACAGAGATTTCCATCTCATCCTCACCTGCCTGAACTAATTCAGATCCTATAAAAGGTTACACCCAACTCACCGGATTGCCTGAAAGACTTCAAATCCTGGTTCCTGTGTTATAACATGTGGACTTACCTTATTGGCTCCATAACCTGCACTATACAAGCCTGAACAACCCTAAATTCCTGCTTTAAAAAAATAAAGACCCTGAAGTTAACCCCAGTTTCAGTCTCATCCCTGACCTGCACAAGATCATGACTATAAGAGAGGATGTGTAGACAGGCTGCATGTTTGTTAGTTTTTTATATTTAATTTCTTCCTCCCAAAAAACAAAAACAAAACAAAAATAAATAAATAAAAATTAATAACTACAAACTGCTGCCTTGCACATGTAGAGATTCAGTTATGTTCTACTAGGCAGGATGTAGGAAAAGAAACTCAGGAGGAAGAAGAGGAGGCACAACGTTTTGGAAGAGCTCCATTCTTCCAGTTGGGGAATGCCGAATATCCTTTTGTATAATAAATATGTATCTGTGGTCATCATCAGAAGAAAGACAATCAAATTTCTTAATTAAAAATTTTAAAGCACTTCTAAAGCACTTACTATACATTTATCCCAATTAAACTATCACAATGTTACAATAAATTAAGCACCTAAATAGTGGCAAATAGCTGTATTGTAAATGGATAACATGATATTAACATAACATAAACGGAACAGTGCTCATAGAACAAACAGTTTGCTGCTTGTATTTAATAAATTCCTACCTCCGAATCCCAAGGAGATTCCACATCATCCTCTTCTAGTCCCAGTTCAGACATTAGTGTTACTGAAGGAATAAAAAAATAAAAATCACAATGCACTAGAAACAGTTACTTTAAAATACATGATGATATGACCAGTGACGTTGGGTAAGAAGTAGCGCAAATGGAGACCTTAATATAGGCTAGTGCGCATGCACAGCAAATCGTTGCACTGCACCAATCAGCATCCTGTCATCAAGGTGCATTAACTCAATGCAATTCTATGGGAAGCGTTCAACATCCATTCAGTAAATCCATGTAAAACAGAGATGATGAACATTGGTGCTGCAATGTTTGCAGGATCTAATCCAGGAAGTCCCTCTAGTGGCTGTCGGAATAACAGACACTAAGATCGCCATAGGCAGCAGAACAGGCAACATTTACTCTGCTGAGCCGGCAGGGACAGGCTACACACCCTAGAACCCCTACATTAAATCATAGTTGTCTGTAATTTGCTTGACACACATGGTTACACAAACCTTTTCTACCAACAGGATCTGCAGCACCTTGTAATTTCTCTTCTGTAAGGGAGCTGGGCAGGTCTGCTTTAACTGCAGCTCCTTCTATATGGTCTTCAAACTCACTACATTCTTTATCATCACTCTCATCATCAGATGGATCATCCTACAAACAGAAATGACAGACTTAATACTTAATAAAGTATTTCTATTACAGAACGGTTATTGACCCTAAATTAGTTATGTATCCCTCAACTGTTCCAACCTATATAGCTCGTGTTTGCCTCTAACACAACAATTTAATGCATTTACAATTTTGGCCAACTTGGTCTTTTAAAACATCAGCCCTGAAAGAATGGCCTAATTTTGTGTATTTCCTGGGAATTCAATAATTTTTTATTTCCCCAAAATTCTTAGAGACTTACATTCAGCAGAGGATAGTACATGTTTCTTCAAGTAACTGCACGCTGCCACTGGCAAAGTGCTCTGCATGATGCAATATTGCGTCACTGCAGCTGGGACTGTGCATAAATGGCTATGTTGTCATGGTTGCATGCATACTGCATTAAGGTAAGCTGGTAAAGGGACCTAATAAGAAACTCCTAGAAATTATGATTAGTACATTCACTATGACTTAGATCTAAGGAAATACTGCAAAAAATGTTTTATCAAAACTTGGTAATCATTAGGAGTAATACATTTCCCTCTTCTACCTCTTGTCTCATCTCCCCAGTTTAACCTTTAGATTGTAAGTTCATTGGCAGGGCCCTCTACCTGTTGTATCGGTCTGTTCTTAGAGTGTTGTCTTTCCCAATTGTACAGCGCTGCGGAATATGTTGGTGCTTTACAAATGCCAGTAATAAATAAACAAACATTTGTTGCATAGCTATTAAAATGTCCCTTTAACTTTATTAAGCCTTCAGCATGCATAGTGATTTAATGTAAATTGTACCATCATGGCTCTGTGAATATGTTTTTTTACTTTTATCCTTCAAAGAAAAATAATGTTTTAATCTATTACCTAGGATTACGCTTCTATAAAATGTCCCTCTTTCAGTGACATGTGTTTCTTTCTCATCTTTAAGCTACATAGTTATTTAACGTAAATTGTATCACCACATCACATTATCAGGATTATTTACTAAAATAAAAATTCAAGGTGAATTTAAAGTCAATTTCTAACTTAAGGTAAAAAAATAAAAATAAAAAATAAAATAAAAATGTTTTTTTTTTTTTTTAAATAGTCTTTGCTTTTTATTCAACTACTCTGGCCTTCAATTTTAAATTCACATTGAATTCCCCTTTAATTCTCACATTAGTAAAAAAAAACAAAAAACCTCCATATGGGTCAGATAAAAAAAAAACAAAACAAAAAAAACAAAAACAAACAAAAAACACTACAACCAACAAGGAATATAACTATAAAGGTAAGACAGGACTTTCTACATAGAGCTAAAGGTAGTTGGTATTACTCTTAATCAAATATAAATTTTATAGTCAAATCAATGATAGTTTTGCATTCAGGGAATACCTAAACAAAAATGTGTATTCTTCCAATACTTACTGGTTTACTGCTTACACCCCAAGAATGTGCACTTTGCAAACTTGTAGCATCTTCACCTTTCAAACTTGACTCTACCTGACCATTTTTAACAGACTTGTTATTTTGGGTCTTACTGAATGGTTTGTCTGGTGAATTACTGTCAAGTTCTATAGTCTCGCTTGTAGTGCGACACATGAGGCTGGTCTTTTGTTTAGAGTTTTGAAGAGTTTGTTTGTTCATTTCTCTGTGATCTCTTGATTGACCCTGAGATTTTAAATTAGATGTTAATGAAGTTACATCGCTTTCCACACCATCCACTGTATTTTCATCAGGAATCTCATAAAATCCTATTATTAGTGAAACGGGAACATCACTGCAGTCTGAAATAGCTTTTGTATCTTGGAAAGGGTGAGACAGGTTTCCCTGAATGTCATCTGTAAAACATACAGACTTGTTATTATCCTCATTGTGCTTAATGCTCTCTGAAGCAACACATGCACTGTCTAACTTATCCTGCTCTTTTTCACTGCCTGCTTTTCCTTGAAGAACAAAGTCTTCAGTTTTTTGTCCATTGTCATTATCAGATTCACCATTTTCCATTTCATCTTCACATTTCACATACTTTCTATATTTATCTTCTTCATTTGAAGACACTTGTTCTATACCTTCTTCACTTGAAGATACTTGTGCTACATCTTCACAAGACATACCACCTTCTTCGTCTTCACCAGATCCGTCTTCCTCATCTTCACCAGACATACCACCTTCTTCATCTTCACCAGATATACCACCTTCTTCCTCCTCATCAGACAAACCTGCTTCATTTTCAGATGCATTGTCCTCATCTTGACTTTCTTCAACATTTTCAGATACATCTTGACCAACATTATCCTCCTCATCGTGATCACTCGCCTGATCACCACCATCATCCTTATTCTCCCTTTGACTGACAGAGCAAGGATCAGCATCTTTGACATTTGAGGTGGGCTTTGTATTCGAACAGGCTTGTTGATCAGGCTTGTTGAAACATGAATGGGATTTGGAAGCTCCCTTTTTAATATCTCCACACACATCATCTGCTTAATTTATTGAAAAATAAATAAAAACAGAAACAAAAAAAACAAAAACAAAAAAACCACGATCAATAAATTATGTAGTCACGCACAAGCATTGACAGACATTTTACCTTATTAAGAGAAAAGAGGGAAGAAGGCATCTGGGAAAGCTTTGCAAAGGAGCCAGGTGTAAATTGCACAGGATGAGGGAAGGAAATAGCTTGGGGAAAATGTCTAGGCTGGGGTGGATCTTCATCGTCACTAGCACGAAACGACTCGTCTTCACTATTGGATTTATTTTGCAGAGAGAGGGCTACGGGTTGTGCGGAGGTAATACTATCTTTTTGGTTAACTACATCAAAACAAACAAAAACAAAAATTATACATTTTAGGCAAACATTCTGGTAACATGGCACAAGCCGGAGGGAAAAAAATTATTGCTAACCGTTTGTCTTGGTGTGGAATAGTTTTTTCAGATTAGGTTTTGGCGCTTTCTAGAAAAAAAGAACAAACAAACAAAAAAAACAAACAAACCATGAAACACCAAAATGTATTGCCTAAAAACCAAAAACAACTCCCTCAAACATTAAAAATGTAATAAGTAAAAACATAAATAATGCCATTAGAGACTCACAAAAGGAGAGTCTCTTGGTTTACTCACAAATTTAAAAGAAGCCACCCCACCCAACAAAAACTAATTTGCAAAGCCTTGTTAAAGGTCTTAGAAGCCAAGGGATCTTTGGGACATGATAAATCAAGAAAAAGGTAACGATACACTGATGTGTTTAACAGCAAGTTCTCAGAAGACTCTCTTTCAACCCCTTCAGTTTCATATACGTTGTTTAAAAACAATGTTCATATTTTTTTGATAATAAACATTGTTTAATCAGTTGTTAAAGGAATGGTAAACCCTTTACGATGCGCTTCATTCCCCCAATTATAAAACCAAGTATTAAACCTATAATGAATAGATGACATTTGATGTACTTTAATTGTTTACAAATGTTGTGTATGGCTCATGACATGTATACTATAAGTGGCTATAATTCAGACCCTTGCATCACTTTCAAATTGAGAAATCTCCGTAGTAAAGCATTTAGGACTTACCTGTGGGCTAAAATCAAAATCATCATCAGATGAAGGCCAAGAATCAGCGGCAGCAGACCTGTGTGAGGTACTGGGAACAGTAACAGCAATACTCAGTGTTAGTTTTGTAATATATGTATAGATCGTTTAAATTAATTTATCAACAAAATAAACAAAAAAGTTTGGCAAGTCTACACGTGTGGTGTACTTTGCACCATTAATTCTGTTTGGAGTACTATATAAAACATACAAAAACAATGGATAACAAATGTTCTACTGTGGGGTATTCCAGCCTCACCCCCCACCGGATATAAATCCAAGAATAGAGGGGACAATGAAGTTCCCAGCTAGATTTGCAATAACCAAAAACAGTCTAAAATGTAGCAATTTTAGTATTAGCCAACTGGAACACTTTAGTTTTAAAATTAACCTGGCAACCCAACAAGACTCTGAAAGGTAAGGGACCAGTGCGAATGCCGAGCATGGAAGGGAACAGTGCGGGACCAGCACACTATTATCTGACTATTTCAAACTCAGCACACATTGCCTCACTCTGTAATAATACTTCATGTGAATACACAGCAAATCAAAAGGTAGCTATGTTTAGAAATAGTGAAGTTCTGCTCCCTTTCGCTGCCTTGTGTCAATGGATTCCAGGAATGAGAATATCAGTAAGCAAGCAGTACGGGACATCATAAGAATTTGGGAAAATAAAAACTGAAGTGTAACGAGAAGTGACATTTGATTTTTTGCATACCATTTGGATATTTAGAAAGAGAAGGGGACATTGACTGTAGAAAGAGGCCATTTGTAGGGGAGGAAGGGGACACTGGGAGAGGTGATGTGTAAAAAAGAGAGGATAAGGCATGGGGAGATTTGACAAGGATGAGGAGAGAATGGGGAATTGGTGATAGGAAGAGGTCAAAAGTGACATTCAAAGAGTGCATATACAACTGTGCATTGACATGTACACAATGACACTCCCCACAAAACATCTGAAACTCCACATACACAGTGCTACATTTATACACACATGGACACTCCAAACAAATATACCCGAGCATTCACAAATACTGACATGTCATGCAATGCATAAAATAAATGCTATTCACATGGGTTTCAAGGTGGTAAGTACATTTTAGGCCTGGGTAGTATATATACACAAAGCCACAAAAGACAAGATGGGGAGAATTCAAGAGATACAGAGAAGAAATAGCCAGGACCATAACTAACTGGAAGGCAGATGCGGAGACAAAATATGGGGGAGATCGGTACAGAGTCGAATATTTCCCACTTCCTTGATATATGGAATATCCATATAAATTACAGTAACAGCACAGTCAGCAGATGTCCCACCTTCTTTCAGAGTCCACTTGAGAAAAATCATCAGTCACTAAATAGAAAGCATACAAATAAAATGTTTAGACACTGAAAATGAACAATGTACACAAAACAAGCTTCGGTAACCAAACCAGAAAGCGACATAAATAAAGCATAACTATTACAACTTCAAATTGTGAGAGTAAATATAAAATAGCAGAAACAAAAACAGAAGCCAGCTATACGCATGAGAAAAGACATTCGAGGTTTCATTAAATACAATATTATAGTTAGAAATAGTGGTTTCATTTTATTTAGAAAGCTTGATCTCAGCTTTGGGTAGTTTCCATTGTTCATTTGATCAAAGCATGGTCAATGATAGCCCTGTCCTCCAGACAGCCATTCTTCCTCTGCGATCATGGATCGGGATTTGAAATATAGCTTTATTCCATTGGTCTGAAACATTAAGTAGCTAATTAGAATAAAGCTTGGTTTTTATATGGGGGTGGATGTGATTTAATGCTCTAATCGTCTGCATTCTCCACAAAACAAACATTCTATGGATTTTACTGTGGTAGGAAGCCCCAATAAGACACTTCAAGCTGAATCTGACGGGTTATTTAAATGCATTATAGAACATAACTTGCATTTGAAGCTCCTGCATTTGCAACAATTCTCCAAGCTTTAGAGCAACTGAAATGACCATACTTTCTATAGAACTGAAAAGCAGAAATATGGTGGGGTGCTCACGATTTTCTTAGTTAATTAACTGAAATAGACGCCTTACAAAACCACCATCCATTCATTTGTACAGGGATTTATAAAATACACTGAGGTGGGTAGGCAGGCGTCAATAGTAGAGTCACAATATTTAAAGTGGCTCTGTTCCCTACTGGGGTATTTGCATATTTTTCAAAGACCCCCGATTATGACATCGCTGCTTGGTGTATGGCTGTCCAGGGGAGTGGCGGAGGAGAAATCTACTTCTCTTTGTTCCTTCAACTCATGGTGCTTCATCCGGCAGGAGCCTGTCAATGCTGTACTCTCGCGCATGCACAAAAGTACAACACTGATGTCTATGGGGAATCATGCAAGACCGCGGGAGCCTCCATAGATGAGCGTGCCTTTTCCCACAGTTGTCACTAGTGAAGGTTGGGGGACAAAACTTGACTGTTAGCTCTGCCTTTTGTCAAGTGGAGGAAAAAATTATGTAGGTCAAGGTAGTCCACGCTTTGGCTTAGATCTATTAACTGTGTTGGAATTACAATAAAATTATGACACAGTCTTTACAAAATGATCAATTTTTAAATTTATTTTTTGGATGGGACGTGACAAAGCGAATTTAAAGGACTATATAAGTAAATGAAAAGGCCCTACATACAATCCTTTCTAGGCTATCAGCGAAGCTTCAAAATACCACTACACAGAGCTTTAAAAAAAAAAAAAAAGTACTGAGATCGAAGTAAATTTCCAGTGACTCTGGTCAGAAGGAGAATATTATGGAATCAACACAGACCTGCGTTGACAGGGAACTTACTCTAAACTCCAGAACACACCTAAAAACATCACACATTTTGGCAACTAGCTTCTCCAAGATTGATTTAGTTCACAGCATATCCCCCAAAGGGATCGAACCATTCAATAAACCGAACGTGGCAGATCCACTTTAAAAACAGCCACAGATTTATATAATGGAAGTTTTGTGACAGAGCAACTTGCAATAATATAAAGGTTCCAACTAATAAGAGATTGAACAGTATGTTTAAAAAGGCAACATTGTGAAATTGCAGTTAATGAAAAAGGATAATGAAGGCAAATAAAACTAAATAAAGCAAGCTGGTTCTATCTAATATGTTACATATTGCCTGGATATTTTAGGGAGAATACCTTTCCCTGAATCTCTCGCGGTTGAGGTCTGCTGGGGAGCCTGTTGTAATTCTACATCCAGATAGGGGAAACGCATGGAAACGACACATGAAATCACGATAATAAAACATTCTTTTAGACATTCTTGATCTAACACTCTTGATGTCATACATCTTAGTTTGCAATATGAGTTTTAATTTTAAGTCATTATGCATACAAGAGACGTGTTTTCTTCAATAAAGAGACGCAAAATGAACCGTGCATTTATACATACCTTGCTTGTCCGTGGCAGGGCTGCCCAAAGTGAATACACCTTCCACTCCTTTACTGGAATTGCTGAACACCGACGCTCCTTTCTTTTTCTTACCACCTTCATACGGGTCCGATGACTTTTTTCTTGAACTATGTTCAATAATTAAATGTGAACAACTATTTAGGGGGGAAAGAAAAAGCACAAAACAAAACATTAGGGCAGACAAGAATAAACATGTATACCTATGATTCAATGTGTGTATTCATGTTTAATTATATACCATAAGAGGTCATATATGTCTTCACGGAGTTGGCTATGAGTGGATGAGGGTACCACCACCTGCACACCACTGGTACACTTGGCATTCTACAATGCATCTTCATTTGGGACAAGCAGTTTTATTGGTTAATGGCAGCCATTTTTTTTCCAGTTTTTCCTGTGTAGGTAAATATGCAAAACTTACGCATGGTGCCCATTCATTACAGCATGATCATCAGCCGTCCAACCCTTTTCATCTTGTGTGGAGATATCGGCATCATTGTGGAGCAGAATTTTCACTAATTCATTGTGTCCGTTACTGGCAGCAAACATGAGGGGTGTTCTACAAATAAAACACCAGCAATTATTGTAAGAAACCAGAGCCTAAGACACTTCCTCCTCTGGGTCAGTTTTACCATTCATCAATTTAACTCTCACACAAGTATATATTTATTAAAAATAGAAGCCCCCCATCGTCCTTCCTGTTGCCAGCGAGGGGGTATCCAATACTGCTTGGCCAGCACTGGATAGGGAACGAGTGCTTTGGGGTGCGACATGCCTCACGTTCTGGACAAACAAACATCGACGGGAATGATGCGACTAAGGTGAAGTGTATCACAGACACACGACTTCCCTCTTTTACACTCATTTATCTATGGGGGGTTCCCCCTGGCGAGCCTCATGTGGGCGAGTCGCGGGTCACTGGATCAATTGGTAGGGACACTAAGCAAACACCTCGCCACATACCCACTTATGGAAATACTTAGCCACAAAGTCAGGTGGCTAAACACCACAGTTAAACGCCATCATTTATACCATGACCTTCACAAGACTTCACTAGATGTGGTATGTCCTGACGCAGCCTCCTTGCCTTAAACCTCTACTTTATCCGCACCAGTACCATACCAAGGCTAAATCCAAAATGAAAGGAGTCTCCATATTAATAAGCAACCAAGTGGCTTATTCCTCCTGCCCATTGGGACAACTTTATGCTTCTATTTTCTGATCCTTCTCTCTTATATTCTGTTGTCTAGTGAAAATATCTTGGTTCATGTAAGGTGATAGCTACATATTCTCTGATCAATATAATATACTCCTGCACCAATACTAAATACATGTTTATGGACAGCGATGTCAGTGTTAAACATCATGTTATATGTTGATATTATCGGGTGAACCAATACAAATTGTAAAATTAAAATAAAAAAAAAAAAAATAGATGCCCCAATTAAAACACTAGGAAAATTTGTGTGAACATAGAGGCCCAAAAATAGGACTTAATAGCACAACGCTTTGTACAATTAACTAGATTAAATGTTGGGTAACCTCATCAATTTAAATTGCATCCACAAAAGGTGTACACATTTCTCTCTCTCTCACAACTACACAGATTGCGAAAGAAGGAATGTGACTAAACATAGATAGCATTTAGGAATACAATACAATAAGATCGGATAGTGTTAAGGTTAATGGAAGGGCACATGTTACAAAAGAAATTCAAAAAGCTGCATGGAACTTAGAAATGAAGAATGAAGTTATAAGTGCTTATTACTCCATGAAAGCAGAGCGCTTAGATCTCCTTATATAAAACCAGGTTGTGTGTAAGAGAAGAACAAAATAGGTCAGTGTGAGACAGAAGGGAGATCATGGTGACAGAGGATAGCCTTCAAACAGCTTAGCAAAAGAAGCATGTAACTATAATCTGCTAAGACCTATGTAGACCCAGGTAAAACTGCAAGCATTCATTTTTGTAAACCTTTTGCAATATGTAAAATAAAATGACATAAAAAGGGCTGTATGAAAACACATTTCGAGGCACTAAAATAATTCTGCAAATATCTGTATAATAAGCATAATGAAACTTTAATTGATTACTTTTTTTCACTGAAATACATTTTTTATACAAGTGGTTTGTTGAGCTGAAATAGTGTCATGTACCAGACTGACAGGATATTGCACTGAATTTACCTTTCATTTACATCCTTGGAATTTACGTTGGCGCCTTCTTTAATGAGAAACTCCACCATTTCCTCGTTGTTTTCAATGACTGCGAGCATAAGTGGAGTGCATCCTTCCTACAACAGCAAGAGTACAATTTGATAAGGAAGGACACACACGCAAAATCATAACCTTCCATGAGGTATATATATAATATATATATATATATATATCTCTCTATCACATATAACTTGGGGGAAAAAAAAAAATCACCTTAGTTGGAGCATTAATGTCTGCTCCATGCTCAAGCAGCTGGGACGCAATTGATATTGAAGGAATACGAGCAGCAAAGTGAAGAGCAGCATTGCCGTTGTTATCTACAACGTTGGGATCCGCATTATGCCCCAATAAGATGGATGCACAACTTTCCTGCTGACACTGGATAGCCTAAGAACAAAAAACAATTACCCTGCATCATACATTGTGTGTGTGTGTGTGTGAGGGCACTTACATTTTACAAATTGGCAATGTCAATATCTAGTCAGAATTTCTTGGCCCAGAGCGACAATCAACGTTAACAATCACAATTATCTGCTTAAACTTCTTACATGGTACACATAGCTGCTTACCTATCTTAGCGGTAATTATAGAGAAGAAATGCAGCAACATACTGCAGAGACTGATCAAAAGGAGGTAAAGTAAGATATAGCAATAATCTTCAACGAGCATTTACAGCTAGTACCAAACACCTGTCTCATGAATCCTAAATAACTGCAGTACTCAATCAGAGCTACCTCAATATACCTCGGCACATGGGAGTGTACGTAACCAAATGCTACTCCTATTATGAAAAACTACTTACAGTGAGAATAAAGTGCTACTCACCGTGAGTGTGAACACAAAAGAGAACACAGCCTGATGTGTGTTTTGCTGCTATTAATTCGCCTACATCAGGGGGCAACAAACAGAGAAGTCCTGCGGACCATGATTTAAACTGCTACGATTAACCATCTGTCGTAAGACAATCGTGTGGGTTAGGGTCTAAAAAGGTGCCCTATCCCTCTGCACGCAGACTTTTATAGCTGCGTGGATTTGCATACACAACTGTTGCTAGAAATTAACTATATCGCAAACAAACCATTACTTCCGGAGTGGACCTTCAAAGCTAAATATGACAAAGGGTTCAAATGTTATGAAAGGAAAACAAGACGCAAGAACAGATACCCATTGCTAATGCATTATATCGATATTTTATTTTTGAAAAACCATGCAAAAAAAAAACACAACACACTTTCCATTAAGGTGTAAAAAACTGTAGCACTTACTGGCGGTACTTCAAAGCCACAGCGTGTTTCCCATGACTCCATGTGCCATAACATTTGCAAAATGTTACATTTTTATTATGCTTAAAATGTTCTTCATTCAGCATTGTTCAAAAAGCACTAAAGACATGTTAGAAAATTACCTTCATTAAAGGGGATCTATTGTCAGTGTCACAAAGATTCACTTTTGCGTTGCTTTCCACTAACAAAGTAACCGCGTCGGATTGTCCATTAGCACAAGCAAGGTGTAAAGGTGTTCTGGAACAGAAAAACAATTAAATTGTTAAATAAATCAAGCACTCTTGATAAAAATTAGAATATAGTGTAGCAGAATGTATGCCCTAATTACACTTCTATTCCCTTTTGTTCGGCTGTCCGTACACCCTCCGGTTTGGTTACCAAATCAACTTTGTGTGGTCCCCTGTTAACACCTCACAATCACCGACCACCCCTGGCTGTTAACCACAAATTGCTCATTCGTACAAGCGTTTCCCCTGTGTGGCCACCATTTGCATAACTGAACACACATGCTCCAAGATTTGGCGGCAATTTTGTCTCTGGAAACGCAGGCAGCAGTAGATAGTCTTTGAAGGCCTGGAACTATTTTCAGATCCGCGACCCTGCAAATACCCGGGAAACTAGTACCACTGCCCATCCAACTTCCAGAACAGTTATAAGAACGGCGTTCGGGAGGCATGAACTACTAAACAGGGGGAGCATTTGCTCCCTAAAAGCCAGGGGGAGCATTCGTCAGTGTTCGTGTGAGACCGTTCGTTGCCTTGTTTTCTATGGAACTGTTTTAGGGCATCGCCGCATGGCCGACCGATCAAAACTTCATTTGAATGGCGTTCTCCAACCACCAAAGGGATCTGAGCGCTATTTCGACAAAGTGGGTGCTCAGACCCCAGCTATTTGGTGATATGACTTTCGTTGGGTTCCTATATTATTAAAATGTATTTTTTATTAAAATTTTGTATGTTTCCTGTATCTGAGAGATAACAGAGTTATAGTTTTCTCACTCAATTACCTCTCGGAAACAGAGGATCCTGAGTGGTCAGTGCATAAAAGCAGTGTGTGGCCAAAATAAACTCAGTTGACTTCCAGAACTATGTGTCGTCTAGTTGCTGGGGGAAAGGGTCTTGGAATATTGCAGTGCTTCTTTCAACTACAAGAAAGGAATAGCAGACATAACTATGCTTGGTATTGGAGTTCCGCTACATAGCTATTGCATATAAAATCTAGAATTTTAAATTGTCTTGTGACAGCATTGTGGATTTTTTCTGAAACTTGGATAATGCTTTATTACATAGTTACATAGCTGAAAAGAGACATGTGTCCATAATGTTGAGCCTTTCTCACATCTGAATTTTGCTGTTGAACCAAAAGAATGCCAAAAAAACAAAACAGTTTGAAGAGCTCCCAATTTCTAACAAACTAGGAAAAAAAAAAAAATCTTTCTTGACCTCAGAATGGCAGTCAGATATCTCCTTGGATCAAGAAGCTATTACCCCACAATTTAAAAAATATATATCCTTGAATATGGCGTTTTTGCAAGTATGCATCCAATTGTTGCTTAAACATACAGACTCTGATAAAACCACCACTTTAGGCAGAGAATTTCACATCCTTATTGCGCTTACTGTAAAAAAAAAACAAAAACAAAAAAACCCTTTCCTTCGACTTGGACTAAATCTCCTTTCTTCCAGTCTAAACGGTTGACCTCATGTCCTATGTATAGTCCTATTTGGGAATAGATTTCCAGACAATGGTTTGTATTGGCCCTGGATATATTTGTGTAATGCTATAATATACCCTCTGAGGCGCTGTTTTTTCTAAACTGACCCCTATGCTGTTTATGCTCCCCCTACTCTACTAGTTTCTCGTGTTTCCCCATTGTGTTGATTCTAAACATGTGCCCCCTTAATCACCTTTATTCTAATGATTCTTTGCGGTTCTGGATTATTTTTCATGGCACTATCTATAGTATGAGACGGGAAGTGCAGCACTCAGAATTGAAGATAGGGAAGCTGGCAAGACTAAGGACTGGATGGAAAGATGGGTATTATGGGAAAATTATACTTGACAAAAAGGACATGGAGCTTCCTTAAGCTCCACCCATTGTCAAGTGTAGGAAAAATACATAAAACAAAACAAACAAACAAAAAAAACATAAGAAAGAAGGACCGGTTTGCAAAGAGGAAATCATTGAAGAATGCTAAATTTGGGCCACACAGATATAGAGACAATTACTGGAAACACAAGCTTTATATTGAACGTGGAATGACTCTCGTACTGCAGGTGAAATGACTCAGGTGCAGCAGACACTTAAACCTGAGCATCACAATTTCTACTGGAGTCAGGATCACCAAGCTCTTCATCCTTCCAAGGACAAAAAAAAAAAAAAAGTGTACCAGCAAGCATGTTAATTGAAACATCTATTAATCTGCTAATTATTCCAGACCTTTAAAAAGCAGACATTCAAAAATATTTGTATCGGCCAATTCAGATACCGATATTGCCGATAATACCTCCTAGGACCGCCAGGCTCATTACAAGCCCGGCGGTCCTGGGGGGGCGGGCAGCAAGCGTTTACTCACCTCCCCAATGTAAATCTCGCGAGACCCGCGGCCTTCAGTCTCGCTGGCCACGAGATTTACACTGGGGAGCTGCTGGGAGGTGAGTAAACGCTTGCTGCCCGCCCCCCCCCACAGCTCAGCCAATGCCACTGGACCACCAGGGAATTCTATATCCCCCCACCCTGGCCAGGTAACAAGCAGGGAGGACGGACAACAAAAATAAATAAATATAAAAAAATAAATAATTTAATAAAAAATGCCCCCTCACACACACACACACACACACTCCATTATATACACACACTACACAAACACACTGTGTATATAATGCACACACTACACAAACACACTGCATTATATACACACACACACACACACACACACTACACAAACACTGTGTATATAATGCAGTGTGTTTGCGTAGTGTGTTTATATAATGCAGTGTGTTTATATAATGTAGTGTGCATTATATAAACACACTATACAAACACACACACACACTGCATTACATACACAATGTGTTTGTGTAGTGTATGTGTATATAATGGAGTGTGTTTATATAATGCACACTACATTATATACACACACACTATACAAACACACTGTGTATATAATGCAGTGTGTTTGTGTAGTGTGTGTATATAATGCAGTGTGTAGTGTGTTTATATAATGCAGTGTGTATAGTGTGTGTTTACATAATGCAGTGTGTTTACATAATGTGTTTATATAATGCAGTGTGTGTGTATGTAGTGTGTTTATATAATGCACACTATACAAACACACTGCATTATATACACACACACACTATACAAACACACACACCCTGCATTCATTATATATGCACACACACACACACACACTACATTCACTTTACGCACACTACCCACACACTACACAAACACTCTGCTTTCATTATATACACACACACACACACACTAGACAAATACACACTGCATTATATAAATACACTACACATTACACACACACTCTACATTCATTATATACACACACACACTTTGCATTTAGTATATACAGCATTCACTTTACACACACACACACACACTACATTCACTTTACGCACACTACCCACACACTACACAAACACTCTGCTTTCATTATATACACACTAGACAAATACACACTGCATCCACTAAACACACACTACACAAACACTGCATCCACTACACACACTATACAAACACACACAGCTCCCCTGTCTAAACACACTGCATCCACTACACGTGGCATGTATATTTAGTGCATTTACCTTTAGAACGTTTTTATTTTCCTAAATGGTAAATGTACAGAATATCGGCAAATTATATCGGCTATCGGCCTGAAAGTTCACAGAATATCGATATCGGCTCAAAAAAAAAAAAAGCAATATCGGTCCATCCCTAATCTGAACAACAAATGTTGCGTCCCTGGCACACGTGACTTAGGCAGCAATTACATTGGCAACAGACGCATTACGCGGCAAGGGGAAACCCAGCATCTCGTTTAACTCCCTCTGCGCATGCATAGTAATTTTGTGGAGGGGTGGGACATATCGCACATCTGCTCCCCGATTGGCTGGAGACTGGGAGGAGGAATATGGAGACACACTAGCTGGTGAGGCACTAATGTGAGTGAGTTAGGGCAGGATGGGGGAGGGCCACTAATGCAGAGGGTTAGATACTGCGACACTAATGGGGACTAAAAGAGGTAGGGCAGGGACACATATAGGGGATGGTTAATGCAGAGATGGGGTTTAGTTAGTGGCAGGGACACTAATTTTGGATAGTTAGGGACAGACACACTATGGTGTAGGCTATGGGCAGGAACATGGCAGGCAAACTGGGGCACATCGCGCATGCACACACATTATTTACAGCATACACACGTATTACACTCCCTCACAAATTAAATCTGAATGGATGGCAAAAGGTGTCAACTATTGCCATGTTGGAGAACTTTTGCAGATCAGCTTTTGTCTCAGTTTGTTTCAATCAGAGTTTAGTGAATAACTCTGTCTATTTCTAGGGCTTTAGGCAGGTATTCCAAACTGAAATTATTGTGCACGTGAGGACAAGTAAGATTGGGTTACTGCTTTAGTCCCTTGGACAAGTAGTTTTATTTTATTTTATTTCCACACCCCTGTGTACCAAAAAACCCCAAAACAAATGGTGCAAAAAACCCCCCCCCAAACAAATACCTCCCAACACACTGCACTAAAAGTGTGGAGGTTTTGCTCTCTTCATTATTTAACTGACTGTTGTATACGCTAGTGGTGAACAATTCAGAGCATGTACAAATTTAAGCCTGAAAATGATTGCAGCAAATTCTCCATGACCCACACACAGGAAAGAAAATGAATCTAACTATGTGTTGTCACTGGAAATCGGATGACAATCAGTGATACAAGCAAACACGACAACTTACAACAGACAAACCGAATAACAAACTGATTTTAGCGTGAATTCCTCTGGCTGGCCGTAACTTAGGTTACTTCACAAAGGAGGCACATAGCTGGACTGTGCAAGGATAAAAGGTCTTTTAAAAAAGTGTAGCTTTACAAACCCTACAGAACAGATAGTGTGCAATGCCTCAATTGCATCTTTGACAGCATAGACGTGTAAGCCCTCAAAATATTTTAATGTATTCTGCAGTGTAAAGTCTCAAATGTCCAATTTCTAAAAAGACAGATACAATATACAACACTGTGCAGTAACTGAAGAAATGTATAGGAGAAATAAGATGGATAATAAAAGGGTTTAAATGTCAGAAAACCTACCAGAAGTATGGTCCTGTAGTCATGAGAATGTTGTGTTTCGGATACGAAGTATTCTGCATACTTGCAATTTAGATTAGGAGAACCTTTGTGCTCAGTGAGCATGTAGATCATCATTTATTTAGGAAGTGCCAGCATATTCTAAATTGCCGTGGTGTAGGGGTGTGTAGCTATGATACAAAAACGAACAGAATATGCGGGCAGGATTCCTACTCATGTTAACCAGCAATTATTGAAATTTAAGGATACATGTGTAAAACAATGGCTTCCACTCAACGTCTGTCATTAAAACCCTCAGTTTTTTTAAACCTGGTGTTTATACAGGAGCTAAACACAAAGATGACCAGACAGCTAGTTGACAGTTTAAATAAATGGATGCAGGTGGCTCATTACATGTGGACAGGAGGACAATACAATATAAAATAAAACACAGGTCTATTAGATGGGGCTATTTACTAAAATTAGAAAAATACAAGTTGCAAGAGAATACTGAGAACGGGTAAATTTCAAATTACCTGCCCTTCGGTGGGTCCCCGCTCAGATCTCAAGCTGGTTTTAGATCATCTTGTGCCATTAAAAAAGAAACAGGCCATTTGCATATCATACTGGGCACAAAGGGGAGCCGTGAGAGATTCTCCAAGAGCTATGTTCATAGCACTGGGAACTATGCCTCCCTCTCCCCTGCCGGCTCTGAATGACCGGAGGGGAGATCAGAGATCTTCCTCTCCGGCCCACTAGCACTGTAATGCTGGCAGCCGGCAGGGGAGGGAAAGAGGACCCGGGGGAGCTCTAACCTGCAGCTCCAGCGGGTTCTCCTCTCACGAGCTTGGAGCGTTGCCGCGGTTACCATGGCAACGCTCCAAATCTCACAAGAGTGAATTCTAGTAGCTCCTGAGGCTGCTAGAGTTCACTGTCACCACTAGGGCCGCCAGGGCTTCCCCACCGGACCACCAGGGATTGCAAGAAAAGTCCCTCCTCTCAGGCAATGGTAAGCAAGGAGGGGGGAATATTAAAATAATTATTTTTAATTAAAACAAAAAATTATATATTTATGAATTGGCCATCCTACCCACACAGACACACAAAAACTACCCCCATACACGCGCACACACACACGCACACTGTACCCCTCATACAACCTGCCCCCCCACACACACATTGTACCCCTCATGCCCAAACGTCAGTACTTTGAGTACTTCTCACCATACATCCTGCTGCAGCCACCAAAGAGTAGCCAATTAAAGTCTGTCTTGTCTTATTGTGAAAGTGAAAACATGAGTACCCGCTTTATAGCTTCATGTCAGGAGTATCCTTTCACAGAAATTGTGTCAATGTAGAATGATTGGACAGGTATAGCGAGGGTGAATATTTAATCCTTGCTAACAATATTACTAGTTTGTGAAAAAGCACATCAGGAGGCCTTGTCCATGTATAATGTCAGAAGACATGCATATCCAACTAGTGATAATATAATGTAAGAGTGTGAGTGCGCGCAAAATTTAAGGATGTGTTCATAGTGTGGGGAGCATGCACATATACAGAAACATTGTCTTTCTTTTTGCCCCTTTTTGTGGCAAACCCCACCTTGGATTTATGTAAAATGTGGAGGTCTATTACGTAGAGGTTAGGAATTCTTCCTTACTTTGAGTGGTGGTATTACAGCAGTGCAAGCATGGAAGCTGGATTAGTTGGGCGCATGTCCCATGTCCATACTAGCTTGCTCTGCTATGTTATAATATATGCCTGGCAGAATACCTCCAGAGACTGCTGTCAGAGTCTGCGGAGAGAAGTCATTTTTAAACCTGGCTAGTAAATTTGTTTTAAATAGTCATTACATGGCAAGGGTAATAGCGCACATTTACTCAAGACCCATTAAAGATTTACTAAAGTTCGGGGGGGCCTGAAAGAATCCCAGAGCAACTAATAAAAACATCTCAGAGGTTGCACTTGTTTTGCCAAGATGAGAAATTGTCTCAGCTCTGTTAAATCTTTTCTTTTTTTCTTTTGTGTTCCCCGTACTACCTCACCTTCTCTCCACCATGGATTGCAATGAAGCCAACATACCAACTTCATCAGTGAGCAGTGCCAGGCAATATGAAGCCATCAGAGGCTTCCCAAAAAGAGACAGGACACAGAAGAGGGTCCACAGCCACAAAAGAAGGTGAGTATCCTGAAAACTTTACGGAGCTCCATTGACAGTTAAAAAAGAAAAACCCAAAAAACCCACAATTTTATTATTTACAATTCTTATAGCAGCAAATATGAAAAACATTAAAATAAAGATTTAACAATAAAAATCCTAAGAACATAACTTCTGTGATATAACAACCAATCACAGCCAAGTCCAGTCTATAATAGGTGGTGCGTAGAATGTTCTTGCCTTTTCTTTGCCACTCCATGCTAGAGAGAAGTACCGTTTGAAATTTCATGTATAGTATTACTTCATATATTTTGCTTTGATTTATCTCTTACCTTAACTACGACTGTATTTTATCCCTCTATTTATTCTATGATTTGATTACTATTATTTCTTCTCTTTGCATTTATTTAATTTGTAAAGAATTTTAAACCCCATCTTGTTTTATATAACCTTTAATACGATTTCATCTTGCCCTCTTATTTCATTTTATATTTTCCATTAGGGGTGCACTGAAATTTCGGCGACCTATTCCATTTCATCCGAAAATCAGTCAAATCTGCCGAAAATTAAAATGCCATTTGACAGCCCCCCAACCCGCCACTGCCCCCAGCACTGCCAGCCCCATGACACGGATCCCGGGTGGGGAAGCTCCTGTGCCGTTTCCAGGTGAGCGGGCTGTGCCCGGTGTTCCCAGTCTGGGCTGCCCGCGGGGACCGGTCCCGGTGGGAATCCCACGGGGGAGGGAAACAATTGAACGCGGCTGCTATTATCTGGTATCCCGGGATTCACCATCCGAGTCTGGCGGCGGAGGGGGGGTCTCTGGTACCAGTGGGGAGCAGGGTGCAGGACTCGGCTCTCAGACCCCACCCATCAGGTGGCCCCTTCTACGAGCAATGTGTGCGGCAAATGGGGCCAGCAGGGGTTGGGAGGAATACAGGGATTCATAGCTGCTCTGTGGTTTCAAGTAAGAAAAAACACCCCCTTTTCGTGAATGGAATCTTCCATGTTACACAGAGGCCCACACTTTCTCAACTGGCATTCTAGACTCCGAGGGAGGAAGCAGGGGCTAGCTTTAGGATTGCTAAATGCACAATTTTTCTTGGACACATATCATCTCTACATAGAGGGTGGGCCCCACAGGAAAAGTGCTGCCGTGTAATATTCTTAATTTAATTCTTATTTTTTTTTTAAATGGGATTAAAAATTTTCCCCAATGTTTAACAAAGATGTGTTTGTAACGGCTGTGATAAAATTATATGTTAAAATCCGCATTGCTGTATTCAGCAACTTTCTGTAACTGAGCACCTCTTTCATTGTCAGTAATGGAGATAGAAGCTATGGTATTTCTAACACCCACGCTCTGTCACCCCCTCCCTCAGTCACTGTCACCCCCTCCCACACTGTGTCTAATAGTCTAATATTAATAAAATTATAGAAAAAAAATTTTTTTTAAATCATTTGGGGAAAAAAGTAATTTTCAGTTTTCGGCCAAGGGCATCCTGAATTTTCGATTTCGGCCCTGAATTTTCGATTTCGGGGAAGAAATTATCCCAACAGGAATCAGAGCTTCATATACAATTGTCTCAAATTACTTGCAGGATCGTTCGCTCTCAAAAGTCTAGCCAAGGACACAGTCAACTGTTGAATTGTTCTACAAAGGGACCACATTTCTGCGGTCCAATATCTCAATTGACCAGGAGGCAACAAATCAAAAGACCTAGCAGAATTATCAAAACATTCTTGGTATTTTTGGGCAATTACACTGAAAGCTTACTGGATTACCTAATGTAGTGGTCGATTGGAATTCCAGGCATCTCTATGACACAAGCAATTGGAAATTACACAATTACCTATTCAACAGACGTGGGGGTCCATTAGACATGGACCTTTTTGCGTCTTGTTTAAAATCACCAGTTAACGAAGTTTTTCAGTTGGTGTCTGGATCCAGAAGTTTTAGAATTAGATGCCTCCTTACAAGATTGGTCAGAAGGAAAACATTACGCTTCTTCTCCATTTGCAATGATTCCCAGAGTGTTGTCTCAAATAGAATGTCACATGGCAACCTTGGTCTTAATAACCCATTATGGCCAACGCAACCATGGTTTCTACATCTTTTGGAATTACTCAATGATCTCACTCAGGTTTTTTTTTTTTTTGGGCCTTGTAGGATCTTCTGAAAAATACCAAGGGAGAATCTCACACTAATTTTGGATAATCAAAAGACTCTAGAAGCTAGACTATTTCAGGGAATCATCAATACAAGATGAATTTTCACAACGAACTCAGATGATCTTATGAGAAGCTTGGGCACCAGGTGCCAAGGTCAATTATCACACACGACTCTTCTGAGGAAGCCCTGCTGGGTGAAACGCATCAAGTGTTGTATTGGAAGACCTTTTATCCCTTATTTGTTTGATATAGAGCATTCCCTATTTTAATATTATACTGAATACAGTCTGTTTAAATATATATACACACAAGTCCCTTTTTTATTTTATACCGGTCATCATATTTCCTGGTTTATAATCATCCTGCACATCCCAAGTGGGGAGAATACCACCAAGACCTTTTCCAACCAGAGCAAGTAATTGCTCTGGAAATTGTAAGTAGGATACCATTTTTCATCATCTATGTTGTGTATTGATATATTATACCATAAGTCTTTTCCTGCTTTATCTCTCCTACATATACCGGACGTCACCCATAACAAAGCTTCACATATCCTAAGACGGGGATTGTACCGTCCAGGCGACATTCAGCAGAGCTCTTAGTAGCTCAGTAAAATGTGAGTTTGTCCTCTATATACTTTTTCACAAAGCACTGCAAATATAAGATACATATTGCACTATTTTGTTCTTTTGAGGTTATACAATTGATCAAGATTTGTACTGACTGACTTCAAAGAAGTATATGTAATTATATACATACATTTATACTGATACTACGGTGTTGGATATAAAAACACTACACTTTTTGGTTGCAGTTTGTCACTCTGTTATAGTCTGTATTGCTTGCTAGGTTTTGGGAATCCTAGCTGATGTACTGCTGACAGTTTTACTACCATTGTAGCAAGTGCATATTTCGGCTTTCCTTCACGCCTCTTCATATTGCTGTGATCAAGGAAAACCATATGCTTTTAACATATTTAGCTATGCCATCTCTGCCAGGCATATTTTTTTATAGACAATTTATCTAATGGTCAACATCCTTTAATTTGCAAGGTATTCTAATACGCCCTAGAGATCTTGGGACGTTAATGTCGTTTTATCTTTACTAGAATCTAGGAAGACAATCATTATCATTAACATTTTTAGCTTTTGCGTTTGGTACGTTGTCGTGTTTAATTTCTTTGAAACGTCTCTCAGATGTTAGAGCACTGGATATAAACCAAAAATGTTTTTCCCCTGATGGTGTAACCTTCCAGATGGTAACACGAACTAAGACCAATTTAAATTCTGTGTTTTATCTAGCATTTCCCCACAATCTTAAATTGGGTGTTGCCCATTGTTTAAAGTCTTATGAACAGAAATCAGCTTTTCATGAACCTTATTTTCCAGTGTCTAGCCCTACTATTGCAAGATGGTTAAAATGTGTCACGTATTGAGCTGGTACTGATATCTCCTTATATGGAGCCCATTCCACTAGATCAGCGATGGCTACCAAAGCTTATATTTTGGGAAGTAGTCTGCATGATATCCAGAAAGTGGCTAGTACGTCTTTAGACTCTACGTTTAAGCAATTTTACTTTAATCGTAATCCTCACGTTAGGTTGCATGTTCTAAATAATTGTCTTTAGCTTTAAACTAGCATAATACGAGGCTCCCGTTTCTAGCTTTAAATGATGGCTCCCGTCTTTAATAAAATTGTGACAAGTATCATCCCACTCACTTTGTGTTTACTTACCAACCACAGGTTTATAATATATTTACTTTGTTTTTTTCATTTCACATTAATCAATTCACATTGATTTTTCTTCTTTTTCAGAGTGATTGGAGACTTGGTCACAAACATGAGAACATTTGTTATGTTTAAATTATCATCCTTGCCATCTGTTTTATCCTCACATTTTGAATGTTTTGTTTTTATCATTACATATTTTATCCTTTTTTACTCTTTGTGGAAATATTGAATTACTGAGTCGTCGCAAACCAGAAAGTGGAAGAAGATTCTACGTAGTACCTTTAATAGACTGGACTTGGCTGTGATTGGTTGGTATGTTAACGACAGGTATGTTCTTAGGGTTTAAAAATATCAATGTTTTTCATATTGGCTGCTATAGGAGTAGTAGAAAAGGGTTATAACATAATACTTGCCTTCTGTCTTTAATAAAAAATTGTGAATTTACACCACAAAAGTTAGCAAAATCTGGAATTTTAAATAAGTACACAGCTAAAGAGTAAAGTTCACTTAAGCAGTGGTAAGTACACTGAGGCTATCCTGCATCTAGCACTCCAAGTGTTAAAGAGATGACAAGAGCTGTATTCTCAGCATGGGGTTAGACCTATGTGGTCTATAATTTAAACAAACAGCATGATGCCACTGTACTGTTAAGGCAATGACAAAAGCAATTTCCCCTCACCTCCCCAGCCTGTGTGTAATGTGCAAAGGGGGCAGAGGTCATGACTAATAGGTGGCCAAACCATAAAACGGTTAGGAATTGTTTTATTAGTTTTAAATGGACTCTATTAGGCACCATAACCAACACAGCTCAAGGTATTGGTTCTGGTGTCTATAGCCTATCCCTGGAGGCTGAGCCCTGTAAACGCTGCCTTTTCAGAGAAAAGGCAGGGTTTACTTTAATTAAAAAAAATATGATGAAAAATTAAAAAAAAAAAAATACATGTTTTTTGACTTTTACTTGAAAAATCTTTTACTCATCTACAAAAGCGAATGAAAAAAACTGCTAAATAGATTCAAAATTTTGTCCTGAGTTTAAAAATACCTAGTGTTTACGTGCTTTTTTGCGTATGTCATAGGGCTATAGGTACAAGTAGGATATTGCGGTTTCAAAATATACATTTTTAAAATTTATCAATAGTGACATTGTAACACTTTTATCTGTCATAAATCTCTGAATAACACCCCACATGTACATATTTTTTTTTTTTACAGTAGACAACCCAGGGTATTCAATATGGGGTATGTCCAGTCTTTTTAAGTAGCCACTTAGTCGAAAACACTGGCCAAAGTAAGCATTCATATTTGTTTGTGTGTGAAAAAAGTAAAAAAAATTAAATTGAACGCTAATTTTGGCCAGTGTTTGTGACCAAGTGGTTACTAAAAAAGACTGGACATACCCCATTTGCAATACCTTGGGTTGTCTTCTTTTGCAAATGGTATGCCATCATGGGGGTAATTCTCATTCCTGGGCTACCATACGCTCTCAAAGGCAACGTAACCAACCTGGCCATTTTCAATGTAAAAATATTTGACCCATATATTTGACCTTGTAACTTTCAAAAATGCTATAAAACCTGTACATGGGGGGTACTGTTTTACTCAGGAGACATCGCTGAACACAAATATTAGTGTTTAAAAACTGGAAAACGTATCATAACAATTATATCATCAGTAAAAAGTGCTGTTTGTGTGTGAAAATGCAAAAAAAGTCACTTTCACTGACAATATCATCGCTGTGATATGTTTTACTGTTTTGAATCACTAATATTTGTGTTCAGCGAAGTCTCCCGAGTAAAACAGTACCCCCCATGTACAGGTTTTAGGGTGTCGTAGAACTTTACAGGGTAAAATACAGTGCTAGCAAATTAAATTCTCTGGAATTTCGGCCTGGGTTGGCAGGCAGGTCCCTCAAATTGCAATCAATAAAATTACTGAATTATGTAAAAATATTACATAAATACGCACGTAGAATTTAAATATATATGCATATTTATATATTTGAAGTCTACGTGTATATTTATATAATTTTGTATATGGACATATGTATTTATTATTTTTATTTATTTTTATATAGATATATATACAAATTCATTCTAAGTGTATTTTAATATAAATATATATTAATTTTAAAATACAGTTAGAATAAAATTTCATATAGCTATATTTTTAAATTTTTTTTATTATTTAAAAAAAAATGTATTTAGTTTAAATTACTTATTTATATTTTATAATAATAATATATATATATATATATATATATACACACACACACACATATATATATATATATATATATATATATATACACACACACACACACACACACACACTATATATAGTTATTATATATATTATATATATACACGTGTGTAATTTAAAGTGTATTTTTATATTAATATAAGTACATAATATAAAAATACACTTAGTATGGCATTATATATATGCTATATAGACACATATATAATTATTATTATTTTTTTTATTAACATTAACTTTATTTTTATTTTATTGATTTTACACTAGCAGGGAGACTGCCTGTCAGCACAGACAGTCCCCCTGCAGGCAGACACATGGACACCTATTGTGACCATGTGATCGCTCTGTTGAGCGATCACATGGCCACAGGGGTCCTAATTCAGTGTGGGGAGACTGTCTAGGCTGCAGGCAGTCTCCCCACAACCGGAGCCACGCTGATCGCCGCCGGGTGAACGACGGCGATCAGGTAAGTAACTAAGACCGTTAGGACGGTTCAGGACCGTCATCGGTCGGCAATGCAAAAATGCAGATGACGGTCCTGAACCGTCCTGGGTCGCGAAGGGGTTAAGCCTTTGTCCCTCTAATTTAAGACTATGTCCTCTTGTTGTGGTAGTTTTTCTTCTTTTAAATATAGTCTCCTCCTTTACTGTGTTGATTCCCTTTATGTATTTAAATGTTTCTATCATATTCCCCCTGTCTCGTCTTTCCTCCAAGCTATACATGTTAAGATCCTTTAACCTTTCCTGGTAAGTTTTATCCTGCAATCCATGAACCAGTTTACTAGCCCTTCTCTGAACCCTCTCTAAATTATCAATATCCTTCTGAAGATACGGTCTCCAGTACTGCGTACAATACTCCCCAAGTGAGGTCTCACCAGTGTTCTGTACAATGAGCACTTCCCTCTTTCTACTGCTAATATCTCTCCCTATACAACCACGCATTCTGCTAACATTTCCGCCTGCTCTAGGTGTTGTCACTCAGACAGCCACTAGAGGTGCTTCTATCTCAGTGATGCACAGTGTGCAGCATGTACGCTCTGTATGGAGACGCTGAACGCTCCTCACAGAGCTGCAATGACTCAAAACATCTCTGTGAGGAGATGCTCATTGGCGCAGAGCTGTATGTATATATAAATATACACACACACACACACACACACACACAATTGCAGGGATCTGCCTATCAAATATGAGTTTCAAAACAGCAAAACGTATCACGACAATGTTATGTTCAGTTACAGTGCAGTTTTTGTGTGAAAAAAAATGCAAAAATAAAATATGAATGCTAACTTTGGCACGCATTTGTGGCTACTAAAAATGACTGGACATACCCCATTTTGATTTAGGAATGCCCTATATTTAATCCTGTAACTTTCCAAAAATCTCCTAAAATCTGTACATGGGGGTGCGGTTGTACTCGTGAGATATTGCTGAACACAAATATGTGTATTTGATCGCAGTAAAAGCTAACCGTATTATAACATTCATAGTTAAAATGCAGTGCAAAACTTGAAAAATAAAATTTCTTAGTTTATCAAATTTAAAAAATTTATTCTTATTAAATTATGTTTCATATATAAATATTTGATGTGAAATGAAAGCCCTATTTGTCCTGAACAAAATGATAGATATATCTTTAAAAAAAAAAAAAAAAAAATGTATTTATTAAATGTGAGTGCACCTAATATAAAAGAAGTAAAGTATGGTTGAACCAATTTATAGCGCAAATCACACGTTTTGTTTTGAGAGGGCGGTGCAATGCAACATGGTTGTTGCATTTTATTTTTCTTCCATAAATCAGGAATCTGATATCTCAGAAACCCCCCAGCAATATTACCATTGCACATAGCTATGTAGGTGCCAGACATCACACCATGAAAACACTGTACGCAAAAAAATTATTAGCATGTAAAATGTAAATAGGAAATCTCTGAATAAGTATTCCAGATTATTAAAGGAAAAAAAAAAAAAAAAAAATGTTTTACACCAAGACCAGTTCTGCTGCAAGTTATTTGATATAATTTGTAGCAAGAAGTACAACTCTGTGCTGGAACACACCGCAAAAACTTGGGCATAATGCAATTGCACATAGCTACACACAAGGCACAAACAGCGAAATTTATTTTTTAATTTTTTTTTATTTTTATGAGTGGGTACCATTTGCATATGTAATACACACGCACCCACAAGTGCAGTTCGTTATGTTAAAGTACTTTATATTGCATCACACCGAAGTGGCCATTTAAATTCAGATGGTTATGGTCTATTGATTAATTGGTTCTACTGGCAAAACTGCCACTGAAACAGAGATAAGCATGGCTTCTCAGAATGTTACCCAACTACAACCGAACTAAACAAAAAGTAATTACTGGATTCCTTTAAAGAGCCTTTGTTGAGTGAAATTTACACCTTAGGCATGTAGGAATGCTCCAGCTACTATGGCAACCAGTACACAAACATTTCTACATGGCTCCTGACAAACTCTGCACTTTTCAATAGAGATAATTAACTCAATATAAAAAGAGTGCAGCAATCCAAAACTGACAGAGATTAAACAAGAAGATACAGATTAACCAAAGACAAAGTGACAAACAGTAATCCATTTACAACATATTAAGTCACACAGGACAGTCAAGAAGCTGCTACACTAATGATGGGATATAATCCGCACAGAATAGTACATTTAGATAAAGAGCAAAAAGACTCCATAAAAAAAGATGTAAACAGGTTATCTTTAGAAATGTTACACTATCAATAACCAGGCCAATCGTACATTCATTATGTTAGGGTTATTTATCATACTTCGAAATTCTGAGTTACACGATTGACCAGGTCATTGGCTAAAATGGGAAAGAATTATAATAAATAAATAAAAATATCGCAGTCAGGTAGGTTTTCAGGATAAGAATTCAAAATTTTTTCCAACAATGAAAATTTAGTGGGGGAGAAAAAAAAAAAGTCTGGTGTATACACTAAACCATGAAATTAGTCAAATTTACATCCGGATAGGAACATGTAGGCTGAAAGTCGTGAATGTATCAATTTATCCAGAAAGGCTATATTCCCCTTTTGTAGTTTATGAATTCATCCTGGAATTGTGTTGAACTGACAAGGAGATTGTAAATTTGAATACAAATCAGTAGAATTGGTAACATTGGAGAACTTTTCCCATTTTGACCCAAAATTTACTATTACCTAGTTAATTTCTGACAGTTCTCTATTTAGTGAGAAAACACCACGGTATCTTGCAATATTTTAAGATATTCTATATTCTACTAATATTCAAATTCTTCAGCAACATATTTTTATCGAACTATATCAAGCCTAGAGATTGTTGACTAGTGTGGGCTTTGTCATGATCATTCTAACTCTCCCATGGTATAGACCACTGTTTAAATTCAAACTGTGACATTCCACTAGATCAGCTGTTATTTAAAGGGTCCTAAAAGCCTCCTATTTTGAATTTTAATTCAGTACATGAATTATGTAACTTATTCTGCTCTACAGAGTTCTGCTGCTCCATCCCCTGCGCCCAACACAAGGCCCCTCTGTGCTTCACTGCTCCATCTCTGCGCCCCTCAAAAACTGATCCAACCCAGAGAACTCAAGCTCTCCTGACCAACATTTACAACTTCACTAGTCCAGAATTGCTTGACTGCATGCTCCACCATGTGCACAGTTGACCCATCCTTATCCCCTGCATGCTGGTGGTCCCCAACGTGTCACAGACCTTCCCAGACTCCCATCTGATGGGATTTCATCCCTGTCCCCCAAATGCCGCTGGTCCATCCCTGTCCCCCAAATGTCAGTGGTCCCTCCATGTCCCCCAAATGTCAGTGGTCCCTCCATGTCCCCCAAATGTCAGTGGTCCCTCCGCCAGTAGCCCATCCTGCTGACCCCCACATGTCACTAGCCCGTCCCGCTGACCCCCACATGCCGGTAGCCCGTCCCGCTGACCCCCACATGCCGGTAGCCCGTCCCGCTGACCCCCACATGCCGGTAGCCCGTCCCGCTGCCCCCCACATGCCGGTAGCCCGTCCCGCTGACTTCTTACATGCCGGGTAGCCCGCTTCGCTGACTCCACATGCCGGTAGCCGCCATGACCCACACATGCCGTAGCCGCCGCTGCCCCACATGCCGGCCCCCAGCCGCCGTTAGCCCCCGCTGACCCGCCCCACCACACATGCCGGTAGCCTGGCTGACGCCGTAGCTCCGCTGACCCCCATGCCGGGTAGCCCGCCCCGCTGACCCCCACATGCCGGTAGCCCACCCGCTGACCCCACATGCCGGTAGCCCATCCCGCCCCCCCCACATGCCGGTAGCCCATCCCGCTGACCCCCACATGCCAGTAGCCCATCCTGCTGACCCCCACATGCCGGTAGCCCATCCTGCTGACCTGTTCGCCTTATCTTGCTGGTTGATGTCCTGTTTTTTCAGCAGCTGTTTGATCTTGGCCAGCTCCCCGGTGAGGGCAGCGCGGTGCAGTTTGCCCAGCTCCTTATCCTGCAGCTCATACCCGGCGGAGAGGACGCTGCCGGTGTCCGAGCCGCTGGGGGACAGACCCCGCTTCCTCCCCTTCCCGAAACTGAAAAACTTCTTCATCTCCCCGGCGGGGGGGGGGAGCTAGGACCGCAGACCGGCAGCGCTCATCCCCGACAATCTCCCTCCGCTCCGCCCGCTCTCAGCCTCCAACTTCCCCCGGGCACCGAGGACCACTGCCTGGCAGTTACTAACCCCGCCCACAATGCACATCCCACCAATCCGAGCCGCGCCCGCCCTCCAGCGCGCGTCACACCCGTCAGAACCAATCACACACAGCATTTACTAATGACGTCAGGACACAGCACGACGCTCTGCATCGATCTCGCCTTTGGTTGTTATCCTTCGACACCCCGCCTACTCTTGGGCTCCACCCCCTAGACACGCCCATAGTTGCCAGGTCTTGGAATTTTTTGTTATGGTTCTGTGCGGCAAATCATTGGTGGAGCTGCACAGTGGGCGGAGTTATCGCAGTGATTCATTTTACAAGCGAAGTATTAATTCTGCTCAAGTGTATAGAACATCTGATGGGGGTGGTCTATCACAAGAAATAATCAGCGAGTTCTAAACACCAGAGTCACAATGAATCTTGTTATTTTTGTCTCCACAATGGAGGCCATTTTTCTATAGCTTAACCTTAAAATGGTTTAATTTGCAATCAGATGTTAACTCACTTTAGATGTCTCCTGCTCTGTAAATTAACCTTAAGTCACACACATGAGGCTTCTGCGTTGCCTAGCAACCTATTAACAGAGTTGGAGGTAAGATATTCTAGATTAAACAAACTGTGCAATAAAGGAAGTTTACATATTAGATCACTACTTACAGGAAGTGTTTAGAAAAGCTGTTTGAATCTTAGCTACGGAAGTTTTTTTTGGCTAGGGCTGTACAGACAAGGTGATTTAACTCCTAAATGTCGAGAGAATTGAGCATTGAAGCTATGGGGGCATGATCTATACCCCAAAACTGCTTCATTAAACTAAAGTTGTTTTGGTGACTAAAGTGTCCCTTTAATTTTATTATAAGTATCCTTACACATGAAAACCTATGGAAGATCTTGTAAGAGCAGGAGTGGGACATAAAACTTGTCAGTTGTAGTGCCTGTGATACTAGTATTTCTGTGTCAAACTATTTTTGCGTGACTTGACAAAGAAAGGGAGTCCTTCAAGTACTCTTTAATTAAAAAATAAACAGTGAGACCTAGACAATCCCATGCCACCCAAGTGTCCTTGTTTAAGAGGAACAACTTTTGTTTTGGGCTCAAATCTCCTTGTCCCTGTTTCTATCCTAAATTTCCCTCTTTTCTAGGAGCTTTATATTGTTGGTGTGTGTCTGAGTGTATCACAGAGCTCCACTCACTATAATGTGTCTTTAAAGGGACACTCCACTGCCCAAATACAAAATAAATTAAAAAATCACTGTTTAGTAGATATAACCCAAATTAAAACTGGCATGCTTTTAATTATGTATTTGTTCATTTTGGGTATGTATTTAAAAACAGTTTGCAAAACATCCAATTTCTCTTGTCTGCTGCCTTTACAAACCCTGCCCCTCATAACTCCGCCCAGACTTTCTGTGGTTGTCCAATCACAGACCTCCCAATGCAGCTAGATGAGAAGTCTTTGCAAGGCAGGTGCGCTGAGCATTTGATGCTTCTTGAATTTAGCATCACTGAGCTAAGCAAACCAGGAAGGAACAGGAAAGGTTAATGGGGTGTAACCTGGTTAGTACATAAAAGTGTAAATTTCTATTGAAATCTGCACTTTTTTGCAAAATCAAAAAAGAGGACACGCTGTTCACACATAAAAATTTGCAGCAAATTAAAGTTGTTTAGATGTCTGGAGTGTCCCTTTAAACTATAATACATGTGTTGACAAACAAGTCTGTGTAAATAAGACATTGTTCTAAATTAAATTGTAGTTGCATAAGTCACCTAAAAGTTCTCAGAACAGCCCCCCCCCCACCCACCACACCACCTTTCACATTGTTAAAGGACCACTCTAGGCACCCAGACCCCTTCAGCTTAATGAAGTGGTCTGGGTGCCAGGTCCAGCTAGGGTTAACCCATTTTTTTTTATAGCTATGTTTATATTAGGGTTAAGCAAGCCCTCAAAGCCTCTAGTGGCTGTCTCATTGACAGCCGCTAGAGGCGCTTGCGTGCTTCTCACAGTGAAAATCACAGTAAGAACACGCAAGCGTCCATAGGAAAGCATTGTAAATGCTTTCCTATGAGACCGGCTGAATGCGCGCGCAGCTCCTGCCGCGCATTCACATTCAGCCCAGGAGGAGGATCGGAGGCGGAGAGGAGGAGGAGAGCTCCCCGCCCAGCGCTGGAGAAAGGTAAGATTTAACCCCTTTCCTCTCCCCAGAGCCCGGCGGGAGGGGGACAAGCATTTAAATAATTGATGTGATATAAATATGAAGTGATATAAATCAACTATAAGAACCTCTAAATTTCTCTGTAGTGGTAATGATGCCAAGAGAGCCCTGGTATTCCTCCTTTATAAGGAATCAAACTTTTTTAGAATGGCGACTACCATGCACTGTTCCCTGCCTCTACTACTTCCTAAGGAGAGCCAGAAGCTCTAAGCAGGAGCTTCCATCAGCGTCCCTGAGCTAGTTCATGCAATGCAGGGATAGCTCATTGGCTGAGAGTGTCAGATGATTTTAGAGAGTTTAGCTCAGACAGAAGGCTTCCAGCTCTCTTTGTAGTTTGTAGTGGAACCCAAGCTGTGGTATTCTGATAACATTAATATATATAAAATGCACACACCTCAAAATGCTGTGCCCTATGCAATTAGTCCTTCCTAAATCTTACTTATCACTGCAAACCATGCATACACATTTGTGTTATTTTGTTTTTACAAATTGTGTGTTTGTTGTTTGTGAATTTTAAAGGGACACTATAGTCACCCAGACCACTTCAGCTCAATGAAGTGGTCTGGGTGCCAGGTCCCTCAGGTTTTAACCCTTCAGATGTAAACAGCAGTTTCAGAGAAACTGCTATGTTTACATAGCAGGGTTAATCAACCTTTTAGTGGCTGTCTTCCTGAAAATTCGAAATTCGCATCCAGCGTGCAGAACGTCCATAGGAAAGCATTAAGAAAAGTTTTCCTATGGACTGTTTGCATGCGCGCGGCACTTGCTGCGCATGCGCATTCCACTACACTATACCGCTTTGTTTTCCTGACACTATAGTGATCCTTTAATGTAGTGGTGCATTTAAACCTCTACATTATGCTGCTCCCACCTATCTATCCTCCCTAATACACAAGTATGTCCCGTCTAGGTCCCTACGCTCTACCCAAGAACTACGTCTATCCTCTGTTCGTACCCCCACCTCTGATGCTCGCCTTCAAGACTTCTCTAGAACTGCACCGTTCCTGTGGAACTCCCTTCATGAAAGAATATCAATTAAACTGTTAATAGCTCCCAATTTATTCCTCTCTTGCAACTGTCATTAAAAAGCAAACTAATGCCTCGTTTCCACTGAGTGGTATGGTTCGGGTCGGTACGGTTCGGAAGGGTTAGAATGGTCCAGCCTATTCAAGTGAGCCTTTCCACTGCAAGTTGGACCGCCAGGGGGCATGCAGGGTTTAGACCAAATGCCTAGCGTGTCATTTGTCATGAGCATTGACCATTGCCATTTTCCTGTCTGCCAATCAATAGATTGTATAGTGTGACGCCAGTAGCTCCGCCCTAACCGTACCGTACCATTTCCTACAGACCTACATCTGAAGGGGGACCAGGAATGGTGCGGATTGGTTCAGTTGTATGGGCCACTTTCATAATGGAAACACTCAAAATAGCGTACAAAACCGACCTGAACCGCTCAGTGGAAACTGGGCATAAGTCTTCAGTGAATACTATTCTACCAATCTACTTCTATACTCCTACCCTTACATTTTGTATCACTTAAGCTTATTGAGCAAAGCCCTCAACCCCTCTGTTCCTGTGCGTTCAACTTGTCTGGTTACAATTACATGTTTGTTAGTCCACCCATTGTACAGCGCTGCAGAAGTTGTTGGTGCTATATACATTATAATAATAATAATAATAATTTTGTGGCGTGTGTGTGTGAATGCAGGCATATATATGTATGTTCAGTATATTTTTTTGTATATGTATTTGCATGAATGATTAGCAGTAGTGTAGGTATGTGAGTGGTCAGTGTGGGGGGAGCTACTTGCGTCACACTAGTGCATAGCATGCCATTGTTTGTGTGTGGGGGGACTGTGTCATACTTCAAAGATGAGGTAGTTATGTAAATTGAGATAGGGTGGGCCTAAAAGGTCATGACCTATATCACTGACATTGTTCAAAAAAATGATTTGCTTGGAAAGGAAGTAGGTTCACCTGAAGAAAAAGCATGTCACACATGCTGACTGCCAATCACAATGGGCTGAGCATGCGCAATCCTGTAAAGCACTGTTAAACTACTCTGCGCATGATGAGCGTGTCTAGTGACATAGTTGCGCTACACTATCTGCGGACAATTCACTGATGTCCACAAAAGCTTGGCACATCAGATAACAAATTATGTATGGCTGAATAGGAGCCTGAAATCAGAACTATTCTGCTGGACTTGGGACAGTCAGCAGTGCAGTTTGCCTAAATGTAGGGGTAAATTTATTTGGCTTTTCAGTGTGTGTGTAATTGCATGTGTATATTTGTGTGGTGGGTCAGTGTGGGTTAGCATGGGTGTGTATTTTATTTCTTTACATTATGTTTATTGTTATTATTAAATAAAACCCCAACGTAACACTGCGTCATACTCGTTTCTTCGACTACGCCGTCCAGGGAACCCGCCAGCTCTGACAATAAAGAAAACACCACACAAACACACCAAAGATTCAGGAAGGGAGGGTGGGAAATTCAGTCAGGGTCCCCCCCCCCTCCTCTGCTCCCTCTAAAACTCCTCCATTATCTGCAACATTGTTGCAACTTTAATACCAGCCCACAATCCATGGGCAGCAATCATGCTCCCTCTTCCCCATTGCCCAAGGGGAAATTTATGCATGCTCTGAGCTGGTGAAGGGAGGGTGAGAGGGAGGTAAATCAGGAGGAGGGAAGGGCTGGGAATAAAAAAAATAGCGCCTGTGATAGGGAAGAGGTAGGGCTGCAATCAGTGAGGGAGGGAAAGACACGAGCAGATTGTGTCTGTCTAAAGCATGCAGTGCTCACTGACTACCGAC